CGAATTATGTATACGAAACACAATACAAAACAAACGATAAATCTTTGATTGCAGCAACCATCTGGACCGCTGTCACTGTTGGCGGCTATGACAACAACAACAACGGCCCAAGCGCTCACGACCAAACAACCCGGCGATATTGTTTCTGATATGATTGGAAGTGTAAGTGCTGGTTTTTTTTTTTCTCTACATATATTCAAATTGACCCACATTCAATCGGTTCAATGTTTGGTCGCCCCGTGCTTTTGTTTGTAATTCACAACTGAATGAACTGACACACATTCATTTCACACGCAATTTGTTTTTCAAAAAAAAAAAATAAAACTTTGGGAAACATATTCCAAAACGATAGAGTTCATGTCACAATTGAAAGAATGTAAAAATGGAATTTTTCGGTGAAAAAATCGTGTAACTAAATGAACTTACCCAATTTGTTTAACTTAAAGTCCATTAACACGGATTGTTACGACCGGCCTTGAAATGCGATACGTCGTTGACACCGTCAAAAAATAGAAGTCTCATGAACTTGAAATTGGCGTCGTGATTTCAATGAACTCACCGCATTTTTATGGTGTTATTATATTCGTTTGAATAGTGATTCATACCCTATTTCCAATGTTCTCTATCGCTTACACGATGCAAATGATAAATTATTCATTTTATTATTATTCATTTGAATGCACTGCGATTTGTGGTGAACCGGTTAAATGGTGTGGACAATTTGTTTTGATGGAATAATTTTCGCAAAATTGAACGTAATTAAATGGCTAATTTATTTGTGGTGTGTGTGTGTGTGTATGGCGAAATTTAGTTGGAAGTTGCTGCCCAACCGCAACCGCCAACTATTGGTGGCGATGCTAGCGCTATGATGAAAGCGGCTGCCAAATTGGCAACATCGGCAACGGGAGCAACAAGCAAAGTGGATGATGTAATTGATGACATCAAGAAGAAGCAATCAATCCGCAGCGAAGCTGATGAACTGTCAAACATTGGAGCGGCTGCACGGAAAACGGAAATCACCGCCAAACAACGCTGGAATTGGGCATTCAACAAAATTGTTTTACAGCTCAACGTGAGTACCGTAGCAATTTTCTATTCATTCATTCATTCCATTCACACGCGCGTCAATGAGGGGCTAATAAATCGAACTTAACTTTTACCTTATTTTGATTTCCATTTTACGAATGCAATTAACATTACACAGAAAATTAAAGTCATTGATTTCAATGATTCTCAATCTGACTATGAAATTTACGATGACTTTGTTATGACTACTGTTGCATTTAAGCGACATCAATGTATTGATGCCTTTAATGCGAATTTCATAAAATGCATTCATCCATTTGATGATTTGATTATTGCCACAAATGCAACGATTTGCATGTGTGACAAATTTGTTTTTGCACCAATTTACAATCACGAATTACACGTTAATGTGTGTGTGCATTGGCCTAGAGAAGTGTAGTTCACACTTTGTCATAACGTTCGAAACACAACAACAACAACAACAACAACAACAGAACAATGAATACAATTGTGCACGCGCACACGTTTTGTATGTGTCTTGTGTGATTGCATGCAGCGTTTTTATCATGTACCGATAAATGAAAGAAGAAAAAAGAACAATAACAGCAACAACGACGACGAAGAAGCGGAAATTAGAACATGTGCGTCTGCATGAGCACCATTATTTTACTGATACGGCAAATGTCAAACAGTGTCGGGTTATGGTTAAAATAGTAAATAGTGCGTTTCCACTTATTCGCACTTAACACACTTAATACCGGCTCATACATTCATTTTATCTCTCATTCCTTCCCTATGTCTCTCTCTCGCTCCTTCTTTCCCTTTTGCCCTTGCTTTCGCTTACTCGCTCACTCGCTCGCTACCACCACCTCTCGCATACAATTCACGTTTCATTTCGTTCGTTCCGATACAATCCCCGAAGCCCCATACTGATAAATTTAGCATTTAATGCGAATTGCAAGAGAGTTGATTGAAACGGTGCGCAAGCTATAAAAACAAGGACAGTCTCGCAACTGGCGGCAATAAAATAATGCTTGATTAATTCAATTTTGCTTTTAGTTCCTGCTGTTTTAAAACTCTTTCACTCCGATTGAGTGGCCTTCTCCAGTGTTTTGTCATGTGTTAGGTCGTTGTTAGTTGTTTTTTTTCCTCCTCTGGTTGTTGTCGTGGTTTTTTTTTCTCTCGTTCTCGCCCTCTGCTCTTTTTTTTTATATGTTTATATTTTCAAAACGTAGTAGACACGCATTTTTTTTCCGCTGATAACATCAAGTGGCTTTCATTATTGTATTGATCGTTCGCGCACAAGACTGCACTTGTTGTGTGTTGTTTTGGCTTCGTTCACATCACAAACCAATCAATTCAAAGCCACTCTAGTTGCGTTCTCGACACATCACATCTGATCATTCAATTGTTTTCGGTTTACTACTTCGGTTGGTGTTTTAATCGAACAATTATTCGTTTCTTTCGTTTTATTGTTTTACGGTACGTTGTAGTTTTAATCATCTGAACGCAAATCGAGAGAATAGATTCACACGTTTTTGGTTTGATCCCAAGAGATAAACCACATCATTTGGTTCATAAAATGTTGTAAATGTGCCTTTTTCCCTTCGTAATTATCTCGAATTAAATTGTGAGACTAAAAGTGAGGTGCCTTTTCCCAAAAAATTGAAACGAGTCTGAACATTTAATTTCGCGGTGCCATTTCAAGTGCCTAAACTGATTCGATTTTTGTTTTGATTGGCAATAAACGCGCGGAATTTTGTGTCCAATTTTGTGCCAAAGAACAATAGAAAAACAACCATGTTGAACAAATGGTTTAAGGTGATTGGCAATTCGAGTCCAATGATGGAATCAATCACGTGCCCATCAAGCGATCAGAGTGCAATGGATGATGACGATGCATCCGAACAGGCGACACTCGTAAAACTCATCGATTCACCGGTAAATGCACCGTTCCGTAAAAAAGCCATCACATCCATCGAACGCACACGAAAGCTATCAATCCTATTAAAGCATCAGCATTATTTGGTGAGTTTTATTGGTTTTTCAATTCCCAATTTCGGTCATACATTTCGGTTGGGTGGCTCGTATTTTCTCGAGCTATGGTAAATTGTACATACATAGTTGAAAACAGACGAGACAAGAAAAAAAAATCAAAAATTATCGGCAAAACATTAACAAAAATCGCAGTTGATACCTCCCACAACATTAACACCATGGGAATATGCATTATTATTTATTCATTTCCACACTAAGCGGATTACGCATACGGCAATTCAATTCAATGCAACCCGCTTCGCATTCAAAAAAGACCGCGCGTGCTCCAGAAAAACAAAAACAATCGGTAATTCTCTCGAGTACAATGTTCATATTCTGCAAATGCTTTTCAAAAATACAAGCAAATGCTTTATTTACTTTTGATTCGCGCGTATGTTGTGTTTTGTGCAAGATTTTGGTTTTGTAGTAACTTGTACAAGCACACTTTTATTTGATTTGACATGTGTGTGATGTGTAGTAGACATGAGCTTTTTTCTTCACTCTTCCGATGTAATAGTTAGTGGATGTGTGCGTGATGCGCATGTCCCACTGCCAATCCAAAGAAGAAGAAGAAAATAAAAAGCAGCGAAAAAAAACGTTTTTATGAATAAATTCAGGCCATACACATATATGCGGGGAAGAATATATGTGAACGTCGGTGTTTATGTATATGCTTTTGATGGTTGATTTCCATGTCTCTCTTTCGATTTCTCTCTCTCTCTCTCTCTCTCTCTCTCTCTGTGTGTGTGTGTCTCTATATTTTACTCTGTCTCCTCTCTATGTTCGAAAACACGAAGGCGTACGCATTTGATCAATAATCATGTGTATCCCGAAAATCGAATACACTTTATCATAATAACATCAAAATACACCGTCTAGGTCTTCGTTCATTGACTTGTGTGTTGTATGTCCATTATGTATATATGTACACACAAGGTTTCTCGTCGTACTCGTATTTCGGCGGGGATTTCCAACAACACTGTTGTGGTTGTTGTTTTTTTTTCTCTTTTTCGGTGAAGCGTTGAGAGTAAAAATGTCCTATGTGCCCTTTTCGAGATGCATAGCCCTATGCGCCCCCTTCGCGACAGCGTGTGAGTGAAAGAGAAATAGGCGGCAATCCAAAGTCGGCCAATGGTATTAAATCACATACCGACAAAGGGAAAGAGAGAGAGAGAGAGAGAGAGAGAGAGAGAGAGAGAGAGAGAGCAAGAGAGGGAGAGAAAGAGAGAGAGAACATTCGACCGAATTACATGAAGCCAAATCGATTCTCTTGAATATTTCATATTTGTTATTTTCCTTTCTGCGTTAAACAGTAAAGTCAACGTTATAGTAGCTACTAAGGGTTTAGCACGCATTTGCGTGCTAGTTTTTCTGGTATATAATTCATTCCTGGCGACCTTTCTCGTTTAGCGAATAAATTGAAGTAGTGGCGTTAAATCGTTACATTAAGTAGAGAGAAACACACACAGCGCGAACGAAAACAAAACGAAAAAAAAATAACAACCAAGAAAATCTTAACCGACTCTGAGTATGGCCGTTCCATGCGCAATTTTGAATTTCCATTTTGGTTATATACACACATTTTGTCCGAGTGAACGAGAAGCGCTGAGGAATCGTGGGCATCTTTCTACTCTCACACACATTTTACTCGGTGCTCCTTCGACAGAAAAAAAAAGAAAGTTCTGTTTCCCATTTTTTCTCGTTTCCACGTTCTTCACACCACTTGCACACATACATACAAACATATACGCACTCATACATACGCACACACTCACGCTGTATCTCCGTCTCTCTGGGTGTGTATGTGTGTGTGTGTGTGTGTGTGGGGCGCATATATATGTGTGTGTGAATCGTGCTGTGCGCACGTCCATTTACTAGTTTCCATACCCAAATATATATATGGTGCTTTTCGAAAATTTGTAGAAAAACATGAAAAAGCCATCCATGGCACTTATATTGTGATGGTGTATAGTATACGCGTGAAAACATTATACGAGTAAAGGGACGATGAGCACACAGCACAGTGCGAGAGAGCAAAAGAAGAACGAACAGCCAAAGTAACAGAGAAAAAAATGAAGAAAATGTAGAGAGAAATATCAATAGAATTTTTACTTACGCAGACAAGTGTACGGACGACGTCGACGAAAAATCGTAAAGTAAAATTGTGACACACAAATAATAGTTGAGAGTGAACAATTTGAAAACACACAAGAATTAATCAGAAAAAAAAACATGAAACCGAATTAATATAATCGCAAAATTCGAAAAAATCTCACATGAAGTGCGTACACACGGATTGAAGTGAAAAAAAAAGAACCAATACGACGTGAGAAAGAGAGAAAGAAGAGAAAAAAGAACTCGCTGTTGAACGAATTCAGTCACTTCGAACAGTTTTTTTTTTCTAGTTTCATTCTTTTTCATGACAGACCGTGCGACTGTTTAGCCAGTTGCACGAAATTTCGAATCGAGTTTAATTTTTTTTCGTTCGTTTGTGAATTTCAGTTTTTTTTTTTCGTTCGGAATAAAATACGAATCCGGTGAAATATAGTGAGAACAGTGACATGAAAAGCGTTTTTTTTTTCTTGTGCAACGGAGTTCCCGATTTTTTTTTCTTGTTTTTCAAATACTTACAATTCGTTCTTCTTGTTTATTCTCAAAACGAATGTTTCTTCTCTTGTGTAGCTGTAATTTTGCCTTCGAAACCAGCCGAATCGAAAAAGCAACTTTTATTTTGAAAGCCCACAAATTGAATCGAAATCGATATCCAATGCTGAAATTCCTTTTTCAAAAAAAAAAAGCCCCTGCGATTGAACACGAAACACTAATGCCAGGTTTCAAAATCCCACCAGAACTGAAGCGTCCTAAGCTCAATCATCCAACCATATCGCTTCCGTCAATTTACATTTCCATTCGTAATCGAATTCCAATCGAATAACACACAATGCATTTTATTTCATTTTCGATGTCTATATTTCGGCTGGCTCAATGGAATCTATCCCTGGCGAATAATCAATTATGCACGATACACACAGTGTGTATTGCTCATTTCTGATAGCGCTTTATGAACTAATTTTCTTTTTTTTCACTTTGTTTGGAGAGCTTTTTGTGAACCGAAAACAACAACAACACACAAAAGGACAAACTGTGTGTAAATTATTTTCCAAATAGCGATAGACAGAGAGAGAGAGAGAGAGAGAGAGAGTGAGAGTGAAAGAAAGAACTAAAATAATAAGTTACAGTTGATACATTGATTGACACACGAGAATGAGGTGGCCATATGTAATTTATAACACTCTGTCAATTCAGTGTGTATCAAATCGAAAAAAAAACCAATGCAATAGAGAAAAAAAAACAAGAACAACATGCATCAACACGAATTTATTTATTTATAATATTATTTATTCTATCGATTGCATGTATAGCGTTGGGAACGCATTTTATGTTCGTACAACCAAAGAGGCAAAGAATGAAGGGAAAAGAAAGCATGACAAAGCATGACTTATTGTTTATTTGATTGCAGCCCAAGTGACGGGTCCAGCTATAATGATGACAGAATGCCAAATCATTCGCAAGCAGAAAAAAAAAACTGGAAACAAAAAGACGATTAAAACAAAAGCGAATGCGAAAACATGCAAGTCTAGCCAGTGAATGAGAAAGAATGAGAGGGTGCGGGAGGGAAGTAAGAGCGAACGCTAAAGAAACATTCTATTCAAATAGAAAAGCACAACACTTTTATGCAAAGGAATTTTTCTTTCTTGAATTGTCACATGACACAAGGAATCGCTTTTGTTCGAATGCCACTGGTATTGTTCGGTGCCATTATATTGCCATTGTTGACAGTTTTTTTTTCATTTTCAACAGAAAAAAAATGAAGCGCACAGTCGAGCATGTGAATGGCGGCGGTAAAGCATACGCACGGGCGGAAGAAGAGAACGCATTTAACACAATTCACGCATATAATCGATAAACTTTGTGTTTTTTCTTCACTCTCTCTCTCGCTCTCTCTCTCTCTCTCTCTCCACATCGAGTAGTGCACAACATTTAGCTGCTGGAAGTTCGGTGACTTGACAGTGTGTGCCATAAAAATTCGATTTTTGAATTTTATTGTTCTTTTTGTTATGTATTGGCGAATAGAGCGCGCGACGCTTTTGACATTATGCTGTGAATTGAATGAAGAAAAAAAAGCTCACACACAAATTCGTTGAAACGTAGCATTTTTCCATGGGAAAAATCATTCATTAAAATTCGAAACCGCCACCATATTGGGTGTACAGCCGTTGTACTCATATGCCCTTTATCAACAAGTCGAACGTGGTCAAGTTCGAGGCTTCCCCACGCCGATCATTTCTTTAAATAGATTTTCTTCAAACCAAAGTCAATAGACACACTCGCTCTCTCTCTCTCTCTCTCTCTCTTTTTGTTTGCTATACTTCTCTCTTCGTTCTTCGGTTCGTGTTTCCTATTCTTTTTTTGCCACGCTATATGAAACATCCAGAATACAAACAAAACAGCCCGTTCACCATGCAATGCACTGTGTATAAAATCTAGTCGCGATCTTATGAATATTATCAAATTAATTTTACAATCATTTACATAAAAACGACCGACCGCGCTCGGTGCACCACCGCCAGTCATTCTCAACAGAAGACCTGAGAAAGACACACACACAACGGCAATTAGTAGCGAGTGTGTCTCGGTTTGAATTATGGTTTTCTAAGACTCAAAATACCGATATATATACAAAATGGTTGTTTTTTTTCTTTCGAGGGTGTAAGGCGACGTGTCAAGTGAGACTCTTGTAATCACAAAATCTTTTCCGTTTTTTTTTTCGCTCGAAAGAAAGAACAACGAAGAAGAAAAACAGCCACCGATTACATTTGATCGATTTTCGACAAACGGTCGGTCGTTCGTTGGCTGACATTTTCGTGTGCTATTCAATCTATATTCATGTTAATCACATTGGCTAAAGGCTAACATACCGATAATGAACGAAATCAAAACGTAACCAACCGTTGTAGTGAATGCAGCGCTTGCTTTTTTATGCTCTCTTCGCTGTTCATCTGAACTGGAGTTCATCGAGACGGAGCGAAGAGAACACACGAAAAAAAGGATAGATGGAAACAATTTAAAAGTGCTCTCGAATGGATTTCAAATTATACGAGCTCATTTAGCGCGCTGCCATGATTCATATGTGTTTTCCGCTGCGATTCACATGTAAGTGAATGAAGGGAAACCGAGTGAGCGGGCGAGAGAGAAAGAGCAAGTAAGCAGGAGAGAAAGCGCGAAGCGAGTGAGCGACCAAGACAGAGAGAACATGTGCACATGTGTGTGTGTGTGCTAGTTAAGTGGAAAATCATAAATTCGGTTTGGATACGTATATTAACATTGGGGATAGCCTACACATACTCACGAAAACAACCTCTGAATGGCGCTTGGCCTACGGTGCGAACGTTGAAGCCTTTGTGCTTCTGTTTCTTCTCTCTCTCTCTCTCTCTCTCTCTCTCTCTCTCTCTCTCTCTTCTGTTCCTGTCTATTCTTTTTTGAGCTGAATTTTTCGGTGCGCTAAGCAAAATTTCTTCTACTCTTTTTTCCCGCTAAATCCTCTATAGAATGGCATGGTTTGGTGCTGGTTAACTGTTTAAATAAAAATGAGGCACAACTTAATTTCTAAAGCATAGAGCATAACTGCTGTTTTAATGTCATAAGGATTGCCGTGTATAAATTATTCGGATTTTTAGTACGAACAGATTCGCATTAAATGTGCAAATTGGCAGCAGCAACAACAGCAGAAAATAAAAAACAGTGGCAAATATTCACTAAGGAGACTGTGGAAAAGAAATGCTAAGCCAAATCTGTGCGCACAAAAATATTTTCCGAAACAAGAATAACAACACCACCAACGAACGAATGAACAGAAGGGAAAACAATTCACACAAATGGAGGGAGAGAGAGAAAGATAGAGAGAGAGAATTTTCATAAGAGCTCCCCCATATATTTATATATACATATCGTATATATATTTATACGGTACAATATGCATTACAATATTCGACCTAAATGAGCAACCAAACTATCCACACTCTCCTTTCCATTGTGACTCTCTTTCTATCCATCGTACACAGACACAATACTCCAGTCGGTTGGGCTCTCTATATGCACGCGCTCATTCGTTCGCCTGTTCGTTCGTTTGTTCGTTTATTCGTTCGTTCGTTGAAAACCGTTTCGTTTTGTCTTATCGAGCGCGTTGTGCGATTCTGTTCCTTATTGAGCATGCTTTTTGTCCTCCTTTCTATTTTGATACATTCAATAAAAATTGTCTCGGTGCTTCTCTTTCACTCACTGTCTCTACTCCACACACGGTGTGCAGTGTTTGTGGCCAGAAAAAAAGTGTCGGCAACAACAACAACATCAACAACAACAACAACCAAATTCGTTCAGTGCTCGCGAATGCGAAATAGAGTGTGTGTGTGTGTGTGTGTGTATGTTTGCCTCGGAAAATCTTTTGCCTCATCGAAAATAGAAAAATGCGTTCATCATCATCGGATATCGTTATTTTATATTCAATTTATTCGGGATGGTCGGTTGAACATGAGCCGAATTAGTATGCGCATTATAGCATTGATTAATTTTCGATTCGGTAGCGTGATTGCGTTGGGAAATCGGTGGTGCAACATATACAACACGATACGGCAAATGTCAATTGAGTGAATTTCGAGCAATTCATGCAATTTTAAATCCAATTAGAAATCCGATTGGTTCTGGTTGCACCGCGTGGTTCATTGCTTTTTCCGAAATTTCAAACATCGAATCGCATTAATTACGACGACAACGACAACGACAACTGCTGCTGTGTGTTTCACTAGTTTCGATTCGCAAATGCAACGATCGTTCTTACCGTATTTTCTTTTCTTTACTCTTCTCTGAAAACTTTTAGTTTGTGTTCGTGATTTAAATTGAGAATGAGAAAATTAGTGTAAATTCATGAAAACTAAAACTACGAGAGAGAAAAAAACACACCCAAAAAGTGAATGAAACTTTCAACGCAAACTGAATAAACGACTGATAGGGAACAAACATTAATCGGTGCAATACGGGTTTTTGATGTGAACACCAAATAGTTTTTCCCTTCTTCGAACAGATACACCAAAATTAGAACTTTATTCATTTTGTTGTTGTTTTTTTTCGTTTCTTTCGTTGTTTCTCGATCGGAAACGGCGATGATTTGCCGTGTGAACAATTTTTAAGCGAATGTAAAAACGAAAACCACATCAAGTGTATTATCATTACTTAAACCAAATTTGTCAACAACAAAAAAAAAAAAAAGACTTTTACATGAAAGAGTACCTCCAATTTCTGTTGTTGTACAAGTGCTACAGTTTTTGATATGCAATTTTTTCTCGCTTCTAATGAGTAAGAACCACTTTTTTTGGAAACCCAAACAAAGAAAATCATTTAATGATTTTTGTGTGTATCGTCCGCTCGCGTACGATAAACAGTTAGTAGGTGCAAAGAAACACACGGAAGTGAATGTGAAAATTGTTGGATTGTTGGTGATTCAACGAAGAAATTGCAGAAGTGTAAATCAAATAAAGGAAAAAGAGCAAATAAATTGTGTGAACGATGGAATCGCAACAACAACAACAACAACAGCTACATCATCTAAATCATAATTCCATGTCGCCCGTTGCGAATCGGTCGGATGGCGAGAAAAGTCATCGTGGAAATGGTTTGGTTGCGGCCGATTTTCTATCCGATGACGATAACTCGGAACACAATATCGATAATATGGGCTATACTCAAGAGCAAACACGTTCTATGAATCAGCAACTAGTTCAATTGAATCCCGGCCTATCATTTCAACAAATGCAAGGCCATTTACAAGACCAAGAACAGGTAAGCGTTATTCTCTGTCTGTTTGTTTGTCTGTCTCTATCTCTCGCGCAATGAAACGAGCACACAACAGTTGGATAGGACAACAACAACTACTACAACTGCTGTGGCAAATGTTTGAATGCCGAAATAGAAATGATAAACAACAATAACAACACCAACATACATATATGCGTTTTGTGAATTGAACCCATTTTCCAAATTCCAATATCCGTTTCAGTTACGACAGAATGCAGCAAATCATTATTTTAATGGCAATAACATGACAAAAGACGTCGCCTTAGAGGATAGTGAACAACAATTGTGCAGCACCATGTACCCGCCACAGCCACATTCCGATTACATTATAGCTGATTATATGGATAAAATTGCAACACGTATCAATATACTTGAAACCGAATTGAAATTCGCATGGAGTGCACTCGACCTTCTGTCAAGTGAGTATGGCAAGATGTGGACTCGTTTGGAGAAGCTCGAGAACATATCGTTGGAACAGAAATCTGTGGTGGCCAATCTGATGGGTTTATATGGGGCAACCAGTATGAGTGCAGTGGCAGCAGCAGCTGTACAACAGCAACAACAACAACGTACGGGGCCCGCATTTCCCACGGCAGCCGATTTTACCGATATCATGGGTGAACTACGGAACGAAGCGCTCGGTGTATATGATACAGTCGATGGAAATTATGCGCGCGGTGGTGGTGGTGGCGGCGGCGGTGGCGTTGGCGGTGGTAGCAGCACCAGCGCTGGCCAATCACTGTTCGCCGATAATAAAATCAATTTGGATGGTGCATTGACAGCCAATCGTATAAGTGCTGACATCCGTCAATTGCAGGAACAGCAAAAGCAAATCGAACAGAATATTCAACACAACGAACGATTATTCGACGAACTAAACGCTTTATCATATTCTTCAGCACATCCTCATACTCAAACGATGCTTGACACTAAAATGACTGACACATCAAATTCACATTCGTTACGCGAACTATTAGGCAGCGGTTGCATAAAAGATGGTCTCGAAGAAGGCATCGATTTGGTGCAACGCGAACGATTAAAGCAACAATATGGAAATGATCAGAATGCAGCGGCCGCCAATTATTACATGTTTCGGAATTTAATGCAAAATGAAACACAAAACAAACGTACGGATGCGGATTTTTTTCGGTCGGGCGAAATAAATCGCGACCTTTATAGCAATCAAATCGAAGCCACCGCGCCCAATATATTCGACGATCTGGCGCGGCTCGAACAACAGCAACAACAAAATAAATTGCTGAGCATCGGCAGCGATGGCAATATCATTGAAATATTACTGCCGACGGAGAATGTGTACGGGCTCGGTGGTGGTGGTGGTGGCGGCGCTGGCGAACCATCGACGGGCATATCACGGCCCTGCTCATCACTCGGCATGATTTACGAAGACAATGAAGAACAAGAGGCCGAACATCAAAGCTCAGCATCCGAAGTCGATGAAATGCGATTGTATGCGGACGATCAAAAGAAAGATTTATCGCTGTTGAGCCCAATGAGCAGAGAATCGTTGAGCTTGTCGAGCCACGGACGCAAGTCGAAAAAGAAAAAATCACATCGAAAACATGAGAGCGATGCACTTCAAAGTTTTAAGAGCGCCATGAACGGTGGTGAGATAAAAGAACGGCCTGTATCACCGGTAAAAATGACGAAAGACGAGACAATCACATTTATCATCGATGAAATTTCCAAAATCGAAGATCTATCACTCTTCACATCCGACCAAATAAACAGTCTCAAAGATTTGATTAGCAATGAATTTACATTTTTCAACAAAATCAATCAAAACAACAAGCATTTGTTGTTAATTCTGCTGAATCCGATTACATCATCGGATGCGTATGAAAGTTCGCAGCAGAAATGCGATCAAATTCAGCAGAAACTGCACAAAAATATGACCATTTTGCATACAATGCTGGATAATAAAAGTGATTTGAGCGATATTAAACCGAACGAAGCGATTGATATTGATGAAATTTTGGAAACATCCAGTAGTATCGGTATCGATGATGACAGCCGAAGTGAAATACGATCAACGACCGATCTTCCAAAAATGCTTTTGACCAAGCGTTACGATCCGATGTCAACGAAAACCGATGACTATTACAGCCGCAATTTAATTCGCGATAATTTCAGTTTGAACGAACAGCTCAAGCAACTGGACAGCAAAGAAACGGAAATTATGTGTAAAAAATCAATTAAATCAATTACCGAAGAATTAGAAGCAAACGAACGCAAGAATTTACTCGACAATTTTGATGAGCATGCCATTATAACTGGTTCGAATCGTACACAATCGCTCAGCCATATATCAACCATTCGCAAAGACTCATATCAATACTCGAGCAATAGCAGCATCTACAGCCAAGATGAGTACATAAAATCGTTGAAAAAGAGCTTAGAACGACACAATTCGATGCTTTTTTTATTGCATCTACAAAATTCCAACTACCAAAGCACCAACGATATTCGCAGCGAAGCCAAGGATACACCAGCAGGTATATAGACACATTGTATTTGATTTTCATTTGTTTCATTGATTCGAATTTACTTTTCCACACATTCTGCTACGTCGTGTCGTGTCGTGTCGTGGTTTGTGTGTGCGTAAAAGTATATTTAGAATTAAAAAGTGATTTTTTGCGAAAGCACTTTAATGAAACAAACGAAAAACAAAAACATTTTGTGTCTCATATTCAGGATTGCATATGATTGACGATGTTGATGAGGTGTTGAATAATGGCCAAAGTAGCCCACCTCCGCCAGCTCCGAACGGTGAACATCCAAACGACATCTTTCCACATCCAATGACCGTGCAACAACAAAAACAAATCCAAGATGCATCTTGGAATCCATTTTATACTCCAGCTATACAGCAACAAGAACCACAACTTTCATCAATGAATCCATTTCATGCGGATCTTATGAAACAACAGGTAAAGAAAAAAAAACCCGTAGAAATCGTCAATTCAAAAGTTTTGAATCAAAAACCAAATCAACATTTCGAATTCACAAACGAAAAACCAACTAAAACTGATGCATTTCTTTTCTGCCCCGACGTCGTGCAGTTGCAAGGTGACGGCAAACATTTGGAACCATCGCATCAATCGCAAAATTATTTATCGTCCACGGGAATGTGCATTAACATGGAGCTATCGCCGAAAAAGACAAAAAGCGACTCAGGTCTATCGTCTATGAGTGGTTTTTCCAGTTTGGAAAAATCACCAAATTCACCCAGCCATAAGCCACGTATACCAAATGCACAAGCACAAGCACAAGCACAAGCCCATCTACAACAATTACAACAGCAACATCAACTGCTGCAACAGCAGCATCATTTCTTAACCCAAATCCCATCATATTCCATACCATACAATAATGAAACAAAAGCATTATTCCAATCACGTTCGACGGCGGACAATGCGGCTGACAAAGCTGATTACATGTTCAGCGAAGAGAATTTAAATTACATACGCGAACTATCAAAAAACGTACCAATTTGCTCGGTGTTTGAGAATAAATCGATTTTTAATGTTGACCAATCGCAAATGACACACGCACACAATTTTTCATACGATCAACCAACTCAACCTCCGCCCCTGTCACCAATCAATGTGACTTACTATAAGGTGCCCGATAATATTTCTTATGATTTTCCACTGTCTGAAACTGATTTCAATGCAATGCAACATCAGCGAAAAAACTATTCCGACATGGTAAGTGTGTCTTTCTTATTTCCTTGTGTGCTTTGTCAAAGCAATTTCCGATTTTTTTTTTTCATTTATTTGGAATAGAAAATCGGAAGTTTGTTTTGGTTCTATCTTCATCGCCGTTGTTTGTACAAAAAAAAACTGTTGTTGTTTGTGTATTCTCAGCAGCGTGGCGTACGTTCGGTAACTGGTTCAACATCTAGTTTGGCCGCATCGGCAAAGTCACAAAGTCGCGGAGGTAACACTGATGACGAAACATCATCGCAGCAAAAGCAAAAACATAAGAATCTCACCGATCGACTGGTGTTTTATCCATCATCAAATAATATCGCTGATTATAATAGTAGCATGAACTTGAATTACATGGGTTATACTAAGGATGGGCCAGAGCCACAGCCATCGTCGCAAGCACGGCAACCGTATTATGTGCGACAAGCGTCGCCTGGCGAACACCGAAAGCAACAGCAGCAGCAGCACCACCACCAACAACAACAAATCCATCATCATCAGCAACAACAGCAACAGCAGCAGCAACATGGTGAGCATATGCATCCAGAGGATATGAGTGATGTACGAACGTATATGCGAAGTTCATCGGTGCCTAGTCGAACCGTATACTATCCGGAATACGGTGAATCGTCCGAGGCTGGAGCCCGTTACATTTCCAATCAACAGGGCTACGTGTCAATATCGTCACAGCCGATGCAACATTACGTTCAAGTGCCATTTCCAAGTGGCCAACAGGCGGGTGCCGATAAAAAAGATCCCACCACGGGTGGTAAATATCTCAACAAATTCTCACAATGGATACCGGAAAATTTGAAATTAAAACGAATTTCGAAACGTTATCGAAGTCATTCGTTGCCAGCCGTTGGCGACAGTGATGATGATTCAATGATGATGATGCAACACCAGCAGCTGCAGCAGCAGCAGCAACAACAACAGCAGCAGCAACAGCATACACCAAAAGGTGGCAAATCCATGTCACCATTTCAACAAGACAAACGGCATGGCTATGGCAAATCACCGAAAGATCCAAATGCAAAGTCCACCATGTTTACGTCGCCAATAAAATCCGGGCGTTCTTTTTTACAACGTAAAAGCCTGTCACTGACACAGCCATTGACGCGTGGCGACGAAACAAGTGGCAGCAAAAAGAAGAAGCGTTCAATTACATCGACCATGTCGAATTTAATGCAAAAAGCCAAAGTGTATCGACGTCACAGCTTTTCGCATTCAACATTAACGAATGAATATTCGGGAAAAGCGGGTGATCCACGACAAATGCAATCCCATTCGCAAATGCATGGTGCCAGTGGCAGTGGTGGATCATCGTCAAAATTTATGATTACAAAACCACCAAATCAAGCGTATTCCGATCCGGAATCCGTTTATTCTGATTTCTTCTCTGACAATGAAGACCGAAGTGCCAGCGATACGGGTGACCGTTTCGCTGACAAGGATTTAAGCAATATGTTTGCCACCATAGAACAATCCGTCGCACATCAACGGATGCCCGATATGAATGCCAAGGAATCGGATCAAGGTAAAAAAAAAAATTGAGAGAGAAAGTGAAAATTATTTTGAATGAGTTACAATCGATTTGAAAAGTGTGTTAATCGTACATTGTGTTGCGCTTTTTTCATCATCTTCTTTTGTTGATGAATGAGAGAAGAGAAAAAAATGCATCATTTGATTTTCTCCACTTTTCACATTGTTTTGCAAACTGATTTCAATTGTAGAATCAAAAAAATGATAGAAACTGGATAAAAAAACGAAACAATAAAAAAAAATCCAAACGATGATGTTATGTCTATTATAGTGTTTCAAACGATTGGCGAAGTGAAACATCCAACGGTACCAACATCTGCTGCCTCAAATTTATCAGCACATTCGCAGCAAAATCATAGCGGCAGCGAATTGAGCAGCTCAAGTACAAATGGTGATAAAGTAACACCATCTGATTCGAATGCGAATCATGAACCGAACGATAAATTCATATTTTCAAGCACGAGCATGGAATTTGCAGTGAGCCGAAAAATTGCAAAATATCGACAAAAGAATGTTAGTTCGGATGACATCAATGGGCATAAGCAGCTTGCTGATGGCAAAAACAATTTGACGGGCAGCAGTAGCGGTGGAAGTGGTGCAGATGGGGCGGACGAGGACATCAATTTTAATAAAAGTCCAACTACATATTCGAATAATTTAAAGGATATGAATAATGGAGCACAACGATTGCATCAACAGCAGCAGCAGCAGCAACAACAACAACAAATTACATTGTAAGTGTACTGAGCGAGTGAGTGAGTGATATATTTTTTCACTCTCTTTCTATCTATTGCTCGCAATAAATTATTCTTCGTTCACATGACGTATGCTGACAATTGTTTTGCTTCTCTCACAGACAACCGCCGCAAAAGCATCACGCAAACAATCATAAGCATTTGAAAAAGACCAACTCAATGTTTGTCGAAGATGAATGTTTCGGCAAAACGGAGTACGACTATCAAAATGACAACAATAATAAGAAACAACATTTGCCAACAATCGTAACACAATCCCATCAGTCACAGCAGCAACAGCAGCCACAGCCACAGCCATGCAAATCAAATTTTTCGCTGGTTTCAGTTGATCGAAGTAGTCAACAGGCTAGTTTAGACATTCCAACACGTGATGATGAAGATAATAAAAGCCAGCATTCCTCTCGCACGATGTCATCATCACGACGCCAAAGTACCGAGGACAGCATTGACACGGACGACGAATATTTTTGCTATGAGCTGCGAAAGCTCGAAGAGATGGAACGCCGTAGTCAGTTGGAGAGTGCGAATTTGAGCAGTAGCGCTAACGAGAATATTCAACAATCGTTGCTGTCGAAAATTGACTCTCTGAATACGGGCACCGATATTTGGTACGGCACCAACAAAACCTGGCATTTTTTGGTTAAATATTTAGGCAACAAACGGAAAAACTACCGGTGAATAGAAGCAGCATGCAGAAACTTTGCGCTTTTTTGGAATTCAAACGAAATGGGCTTGGGAAGCCGGGAGGGGTTGAGAGAACAAAAATAAAATCAACGAACAAAGTGTGTGTTTAATGAAAACTCTTGAAGATGTGTGCGAAATGCATGTGATGTGTCTATGAGGTTTTTTTTCTCAAAAAAAAAGAAAGTTTATTTGCACAAAAGTGCTTCGCTCGCTTTCAAGGTGTTTGAATTATTCAGTTGTGCAATGTAGCAAAAAGTTTTTGCATGTTGCTCTCGCCGGAGTTTCGTTCAAACTTTCACACACACACACACATCAATATCGAGTTATCGTATGTGTGTGTGTCGGTGATACGATGATCGAAGTACATGATTGCATCAATAAATTAGCGACGACGTTGTGCGGCAACTTTTAAATGCAATTTCGTTCAATTTTTGCAGTAATGTTGGCATCACCGAGTACAATCAAGGCGGTGATGATGATATGATGCTCATGTATTACAACACCGAAGCCGATAAATATCAGCCCGACGAAGACGTAAAAGTGAAAATGTCATTTGTGTTAAGTGAACTGAAATCGTTGTGCCAATCGGACGATCGGAAAAATGAACGTGGAAATGCATATCAGAAATTTGGCCATGTTATCGATTCATCGTGGCAACACCAACCGCAGCCACAGCCACAGCCACAGCCACGAGAGAAACCCGAAGTTTCAACTAGACGTAAGTATTTTCGTTTGGAATCACGGTCCACCGTATGTTCACATATCTCAAACGAAAAATGGTTTCTCGAATGGGAAAGGCGAAATTCTTTCTCTGAAATAAAAAATTTTACATTGTTATGTGCATATCACCACGGCAAAGAAATCGCATTCCCATATCGAGATGTGATTTGTTGTGAGCATATGATAAATGAACGAAATGCGTGCAATCATCATTTCAGACATTCAAAGTGTCAACGGATTGAAAGCAATGATGGGTCAACGTGGACAACTGGATAAAATGAGCACGTCCGAAGAATTAGATAATGATTTCATGAATGAGCTCAATCAATTTGAGTTTGAAATAAATAATGAACGACAACGAAGACATTCGCAACAACGAATTGGTCACTATATTGGCGATGAAAGTGGTCGTGCAAATGGTGATGCGGCCGCTGCACCATCGGGCAAAAAAGTGATGCGAAAAAAGCGGCACACAAAACAACGGCCCACCGCTGATGATGATGGCGGTGGTGGTGGTGGCGGCCGTAAAGGGACATTTCGATCTAGTACGAAAGCGAAAAAAGATGAGCAAATGGACGAATATTCGTCGAGTCCATACTCATCGGAAGTGGAAACATCGGGACCAGAGAGTCCTGGTTATGATGATGAATTTCAATCGACTGAAATTGATACACTATTACAACAACAACACACATTAGATGCTAATTCAAAAAACGGGCATTTCGTTGAGGCCACCAGACCGTTGGGTGAACCGGAGCAATACAACTACCAACAGAGTCAACAACAACAACAATATTATCAAACAATCAACGAACAATTAGAAAAACCGATTAGCAGTGATGGTGGCCATATTGTGAGTGATATCGATGATGCAAACTTGGATGCTCCGATAGATCAATTGAAATTTGATGCTGAAAATAGTGGTTTCGTACAAAATATTAGCACAGACATTGGATCACCGTCAACAACAACCAATACCGATCCAACGACATTCCATAAGGAACAAAGTTTGACGAGTGAAATGAGCACCGATGCAATGTACGATGATGCATCGCTGGCGAAAGAGCTACAGCACCATCAGCAAAAGTCCGTTGAATCGGGTGGCAGCAGCGAAACATCCACATTCAAATCGAAATTGAACAAAGTGCTCAGCCATGAATCTAGCCAAGACAGTACAAATGGCGGATTTGGCAGCAGCAAATGGAAATTATTGAAAACACTAAAAGAGAAACGCATCGAGGAAAAAAACAATCAGGAAAAAATCAAAGAAGAAGAGAACAAAGACAAAAGTAGTGTAAGTAGAGGCGTTTACAATATTATTGCGTTCAACGCCAACTGAAAACAAATTCAATCAAACAGAAAAAAAAAACACTTTTTCTCTACCAAATTTCTCTACTATTTTATTCTCAGAATTTTATTTTTCGATCTCTAATTCTTTTTCTTACTTTTATAGCCACTAAGTTTTCAATTTCGCCGAATCTTTGATCGAAACGCGCGTCAAGCAAAACACACGTAAAAATACGTTGCATACCCAAAAAAAACAAACAAACAAACAATACACACGAAACACGTACACAATTACACACAATAAACAAAGAACAAAAATAAATTAACATTCAACACACTAATAATACATGAACACCCCTACAGTCTTTAAACACAACGACTCTCTGTCTCAACAAACACCCACACATACAGACACACAAATAAACACGAACAAACACTTTTCTGTTCGAGTCTCGAAATAACCGAAATATCAAAATATATACCCGAAACACACACACACAAATAGACCCGCGATTGTATAGAATATTGAACAATCAATTTGTTTGAATACAATAAAAAATGCCACATTCTGACAATGGAACAATGTAATTTTGAAATGCATTTATATTACTCTTTAATCTCATCATAAGAACTGTGAACATGCCATTCCTCTATTGTAGCTAATTTGAAAAACAAACACACCAAAAAAATAAAATAAAATAACAAACAATATTAATTTCTCAAAATTGGCCACGCGTAGCATATTGAATCTCCCAAAATTTGAGTTGTTTTGTTGCGCATAAAAAAAGAACTAACCGAAAGAAAAACAAAAACCGATAACAAACCAATTCGATTAGATAGATATTAATTGCAGCGCACAGCCATTTTTGCAGTTTAGCTGAAAGCATAAATTAATTATATATACCTATTATTATTATGTTTGCCAAAGTATTTGCATCTAATTTCGTAAAATAATAACCATACCTTCATATGTGTGGAGCATTCACAGCCGAGATCATTGGCTGAAAAATGCTGCCCCATTGGTATTAGGCCATTATATATATTATTGTTCTTTTGTTTTTGAGATAACTCTCATTTGCTTTTTTCTCTCCAACGAGGCAATGATTATTTATATACCGTATATTAAACATACATACATGCCTATATATATATATATATATATTTATATCAGATAATATACTAATTGATCGCAGTTTGGCAGTCATCAATTACATTATTTAATTGCCGTATGCGGTTTTTTTTTTCGTCTCGCATTTTGAATTTGAGTTTAATTCGAAATATCAGAATTTGTCTGTTTCATTTTTTTTTGGTTTTTCGTTTATCTTTTTTCGTTTTTATTTTGGTTGAGATTAAGTTTTATGTTTTGCCCCTCATTGCATATTATTCGAATTGTTCATTTCTTGTTAAAAAAAAAAAACTAATGATGAAATTTTTTCGTTTTGTTTTGCATAGTATTTCATTTTAATTAGGGATGATCCTTATCGCTGAACACTCCAAGGCTATTGTCCCTAATTATCATGGAATGAATACGCATCCAAATTTATTTTAAAAAAAACGATAATAACAAAAAAAAAACAACAACTGGTTGTTTTTTTTTGTGTATTCGCAAAAGTTGAATGCCATTTACATTGATTGTTATGTATATTTTTAGAATGGAACGGGTGCAAGCGATTCGACCGGCCGCGGCACCGGACATCCCGGCGATCTTCCATTTTACAGTAATATCGATAGTATGCCGGACATTCGGCCACGACGAAAATCCATACCTCTCGTATCCGAACTGGTAAGTTTAAATTTTTGATCGCTTCTTTCCTCTGAATTTGTTTTTTTTTCTTCGTACATTTTTTAATTCGGTGGATTGCAGGGAAAAAAAATATATCTATTGTCATCAATTTTGCATTGAACGGGGCATCAATTTTCAATTGGTCAAATCAGTTTTAATTCAACTGTTGGTTGTGTCGAATTCGTACCGATTTCAAAGCAGACATACACAAATTTTCCTCTAAATCGAAAGACACACAAATTGAAACAAGCCAAAACTTTTGTTGAACGGTGATAACTTTTTTCTCCTTCGTTTCACATATAACAACAATAAGAACCGAAAAGGGAAAAAAGTTTTCAATACACACTTTATGGCTAACCAGAAGTAACCAAACAATAACGCTCAACAGAAGTAACCAAAACAATAACTTATCTTGTTTCATTTTTGTGTTCGATAAAAAAAAACCCGAATAAGTTTCACGTCTCTATTTGCTTTACGTATATCGAATTCAAAATTTTGCCTCCAGTGTGCTTTGTTTGGAAACAAATTTAAATTGAATTTTCAGTCAGTTAAAATTCAGAGAAGAAAAAAAATCGATGGCATTCGACAAATGATTCAGAACCGAAGCAGAATAAAAAGAAAATAGAACAATGTTTATGTGTTTTTGGTTCTGTCAAAACAAATGTATTTAGTATTTAATTTTTTTGGACCGTTTAACCTGTTCCTGATAACAATTTTCCAACCCCAGTCTAAATGAAACAAATCGATACCACAATTTTCTTCTACATGTGCTTGACCACAGAGTTATTAAGGGAAAAAATCATTACATTTTATTCGATAGATAAACCAAGTTATTGTATCCTTTGTTTTCCTACAAAAAAAAAATCCTAGCAACAGGATTATAAAACCAAATCGAAAGAAAACCAAACCAAAAACAACAATATGACTAAATGAATCTTTTCTATTTATTTTTGTGAACCTACAACTTTCTCTCGTTACCTTATTCGATAAACCCGAATATAAATTGTTTGTCTGGACTCCCAGGTGCTGAAGGTATATCCTCTAATCTAAACATTATGACCATTGTACAGGCGTGTGATGTTTCAACAACAATTTTTCATATTTTGTAGTCCTGAATGAGAGAGCAAGAAGGCGAAGAAGAAAAAAAAAATAAGCGGGCGGCAAGGAAAAGATAAACACGACGTGCCATAATAATATCATATGACATTCACTGTTTCTTTTTTTTTCCTTGTTGTTATTATTATTTCGAATCGATAACAGTTTTCTTTTTCTTTATATATTTAGTTTTATCATCATTTTTATTGTCCAACACATTTTCCAAGCAACGACAGCGAAAAAAAAAAACGGAGAGAAAAAAATTCCTTTCTCCTTCTTTCGGATTGTAAATATGTTACTTAAACGCACAAACAAAAAGTTAACCACAATAAATGTTTGCTATGTATTCAGCGGAGAGAGAGAGAGGAAAAATTTATTATCCATGTAACTTAATCATTATAACTGGCGTTATACCCACTCTCACACACACTGAAATATATAGTAAACATTGTTCGGATCGAAAGTTTGTTGTGCAAACGAACACCACACCAACTGACACGGTGTGTGACTCGAACCACAGGAATTGTGTGTGTGTGTGTGTGCTTTTTATGCAGCAAATTTTAAATGATGGCTGAGCAAATTGTTTGAAAATAGTTTGGAAAATGGTTCATTATTTGTTTGCTCAACTCAAAAAATAGACATTTATTTTTATTTTCGCAAATATTTGCGAGCGCGCTCATGAGCTCTATCCCATGATGATGATGGTTCTTAGTTTCAATATCCGTCGCGACGATGATTTCTTTTAACAAAGTTATGATTTTATTTCTTTTTCACTCTCTTTCTTCCTCTTTTGGCTTTCTTTTTGTGTACACAATTCAATGAAATCACCAGCATTTTTTCCGCTCAGATTTTGATCTTCGCGAAAATTGGTTTGTTAGTCAAGAGACCAGTCTCTCAGAATTCAGGCAGAAAAAATGAAACAAAAGAGAAGAAAAAAATTATTGTTGTTACTTCACATACCCCGAATTTTGTATATACTATCTAGTTGAACAATGTCTCTCTCTTTCTCTCTATCTCTCTTCTGTTTATTTTTTTCTTTCCAAGGAAACTTTTCTACTTTCGTTCATTGCTATGCATGCCATGATTTAGAAAAAAAAACAACACGTTCATTTCAATTCTATTTTGAATACCATAAAGTATCCATCTAATTGGTTTTCATTTGTTAATTTGCTAAATTATTAAATTATTACATGCATTTCGGTTAAAAACCTTGAGTTCTCTTTTGGCTTTTAGCAAATAGATTGTCCCTGATTGTAAGACCCCACAAGGCATATATCCGTTGTTTTAAGCTGCCAATTTTTCCCAATATCCACTTAACAACTACTCGAATATGATTTTAAGTTTCGGTGCTCCATAAATGGTTGAACAACAACACAACATCAACACAACTGAACAATGCCATTAATAAGATTCGAACGAGTTTTAATACGAACTTTTCCACCAAACCCATTTCAAAGTTTTTGAAACAATGTCAATTGTATGCTTGTTTTTTCTTCTACTACTTCGAACAAATGGCCCAATTACCATCATAACTTCAAATTAAATCCCATTTACACCGAATAGTTTTCCAAATAATTATTCCACTGATTTTCCATTTTTGTGAAAATATTTTTGAATCTTTGATTCGGACCAATTACCACCACACTATACCTCTTTAGATTTGATGGATTCGAAAGATGAACTCAATTCGGCAAATTGATCGATCCATTTGGATTGAACTAAAAAAAAAAAAATCACCAAAATCAAAAATAAATAACCATTTAACCTCTTAGCCTTAGCTATCAATCTTCCAATCACCCCAAATTATTTTCTAATTAATGTTACCCTGTGTTTTAAAACACAAAAACCTAATAATTCCCTCCATTTGGCTGTTTTTTTCGCTTCTTCACGTCGTATTTTACACGGAAATACAGGCGACTAGCAGTAAATCCGCTTTTCAATTGTATGGAGAAATGGCTGTAGGTTGTATGTCGCATCGTTTGGCTTTCTTTTTTCTTCATACTTCGATGCATCATGGGAAACCATTTTATTTTATGTTAATTTTTACCATGAAAGGGTATCATAATTTTTTGCGCAGGCAGTTTTTCTCCATAATTATATCTAAGTTGAGTGTATTTGTTCCAATTAGCTTGTATCATCACTTTATCTCTATCGTTGAAGAAAAGTTTTTGTTGCTGAGAAATGCGCTCTCTGTTGCTAATCTTATAATTTAAGTATGTTGTATTGCGGCAATTTGCCGCCGATAGAAGTTGAACAATGGTTTAATAATAGCCTGGTTTTAATTTCCATCCGCTTCATTTGTTTTTCGTTCTGTATGCCTCTTTCTCTATATACAATTTCTATTCTAATTATTGAGTTATGTATGCAGTGCTGTCTCGCTTGCTTCGATTCCGATTAGCATATATTCGATGGGGAATGTAAATTCAATAAATTTTGCCGACTGTATGACACCACTTCAAACAAAAGAATCAGACACACGCTACAAAGGACACCAATTCCCTTTGGAAAGAGAAAAAAAAAATTGAAAACAAATGGAAAACAAATTGGAAAAAAAGTGAATGAAAAAAAAAAATGAAAGAAAAAGTGAAAACAGGCATCGCTTCAAAAACAATACGCATTAATCGATCGAGTTAGACAGCATTGTTTGATAGAATTTTTATCATTCGTAGACGCTTTTCAGAAGAATAAAAACAGTTGATTTCGTTTATTTTTTTCATTTTATTTTCGTTTGGCTAGCTGAGAGTCGATTTAATTTTCTGAATGCAAATAGCTTACAGGAGTATCTGAGAGACACACACTCAACGACCAATCACCTAATGACCGCCAACTAATTCAATTCGTTTGTTTTTTCTTCTGTTTTTTTTTTTGCTGAAACTCGTCCATGACACAGACAATGGCCGCAACGAAACGCAACGCAGGTTTAACATCAGCTGTTCCACGGGCCACACTAAACGATGAAGAATTGGTATGTATTTTCCGTTCTAAGCGTGGAAATGGTGCACATGGGTAACGTATTGTGTCGTCGATAATGCGCCAAGTTCGCATTTCAGTACGTGCGAAATCGAAATTGTTTTCCAATTAAATTGAAACTTTTTAAAAGAAGTTTAACAGCTAACAACCAAAAAAAAAGCAATACAAACTTAGGAAAATCAAACGAATGCATGTTTTATCCATAGAATAATGAACCTAGATCCATTGATTTTATATCTAGATTACATTTTAAGTTGTTTTTATTCCAACCAAAATCAAAATGAAAGCGAAAATAAAATAGACAACCATTGTGACTTCTCGTCATCATACTGAAAATTCCGTCATAATTCAAATGGAACACAAAAAAAACACACACAATCTAAAGATAAGAACAAACCATGAATATTTTCAAATTATATTCAAATCATGACCCAATCTGATAATAATCATTCCATTTTGTATGGCGTCGACTTTTCGTCATCACATTTCATGTGTTTCAACACCTACTCACTCTCTCACTCTCACTCTCACTCTATATCTCACTCACCGATAGTCCATATATTCCAAAACAAATAGACATGTTCATGTCAACAACAATTTTAATGCATTTATATAGAGTGAGAGATCTAAATTGGCAGTTGCTTTTTGTTCAAATGCATGAAAAAGCCAAGAGCGCAGCAATTTCAATAAAAAGCATGCATGATATTTTTTCTATAACACCAATAAAAACAATGGTGAGCAAATGAATTTTCCAATTAAATTAAAGTGCATTCATCCCTTCAGTATTGTTTTGCTGAGAATGACAAAAAAAAATCAACCAAATGTACGACAACATTTTATGATTAATTCTCTTTGGTTTCTCATACAAACGAAAATAATCAAAAAAAAAAAAAAACAATTTCGAGTCGAGTATTTCGACGCAATACAATCGCACTTTGAATTCACTTGAAGAAGTCACAAATCATCATCATCATCACAACACATACACCTACACTGCATACACCGAAAACATTCCGGAATTCACATCCAAATTCAGAAGCAGTGGATTTTCTTTCCGCGATCCAAAAAAAACAAACAATATATATGTTCAATTATTATCACATGGAAGCGTTTCGAAAATTGCTAGCCACTGTATGTATCAAATTTACGATTGAACATCAAGCGATGAAATTTGGATGAATCAAAAGAGTAAATTCACCATTTGAATGGAGCCAAAAAACCAGCCGACTGCGAGCAATATTTATGGCTCCATTTAATTCGCTTGTATTTTTGATGATATGTCTGAGCCAAAGAATAAGGCCACGTTAAAAATGTTCACATGTCAATTAATAACCGTGGTGTCCGCATGCGACAACATTAATCATTAATCTTAAATGATTAATGGTGTGTATTCGGTGCGATAAGCATGTGCACAATGTTCAATGGTGGGCTCAACTTGAAATGGAACTAACTTAACCTCATTAGAAAGATGTTCATGTGATATGTACGAAGTGGTTGCACGCGGTATGCTGCTGCCAAATTTGGTGAATTTCCACCAATCAAATTGTCAATGGTTGATTTCTAATTTTGGACAATTGCGAAAAGGTTATCTAGCAACTAATGAATATGGACATTTTTGCTGCCATCGTAGTTAGAACCATCCATTCACACATATTTTTTTATTGTGATTGCGAAGTTCTCTTCGGGTCTCTGTAGATATTGTTTGTATTTTGTTTTTTTTGATTGCACTACACTTTTACCGATCAACAACAAAAAAAAAAATCATCAAATCGATTTTTTTGCCTCTTTCGATAATTGTTAATCAAATTTCTTTATTGTTATCGTTTCACACAAAAAAAAAATGACACGTGTTTTCGCGAAATTTTTCATTGGCATTTCATTTTGATGAACACATGCGTTTAATTGTCCTTGCCTCTCGACGTCCGACACATTATGCAAATAATGTACGCGACGAAATGAATTGCATCACCCCAATCGTCGAATAAATCAAAATCAATTACTGCTTCGGCTCGGCTCGGCTCGGCTCGGCACACGGCGTGGCGATGGCTCTCTCTCTCTCTCTCTGACGGGATGTACATGGAATGGAATGGTCATGCTGGGATTTAATTTTTGAACTGTGCAGAAAATGCATGTGTACAAAAAATCATTGCAAGCGCTTATTTATCCAATATCATCGACAACACCACATAATTTCACGCTGTGGACTGCAACATCGCCGACATACTGCTATGAATGTGAAGGTCTGCTATGGGGTATTGCAAGGCAAGGTGTTAGATGCACTGAATGCGGAGTCAAATGCCATGAAAAATGCAAAGATCTATTGAATGCAGACTGCTTACAAAGTATGCTATTAAGTAATGTACCACATTGGAAACATCTTATTCGTTTCGACTGGAGGCGATACGAAGTAATTGGATTCTCTTTTTTTCTTCTCTCTTTTCTTTTTTTCTCTTTCTTTCTTTCTTTCTTTCTCTCTCTCTCTCTCTCTCTCTCTCTCTCTCTCTCTCTCTCTCCATGGCTTTCGCCCATTTTTTTGTTTTTCGTTTCGTTTTCGTTTTTCTGTTTGGTTTTTCCCTCCCCACAAACATAATTGTAGGAGCGGCGGAGAAAAGCTCAAAACATGGTGCTGAAGATAAGGCCAACTCAATCATAACCGCAATGCGAGAACGCATGAAACAAAGAGAACAAGAGAAACCAGACATTTTCGGATTAATAAGGTAAGAGAATGAAATTCAATGTATATTTTTCTCTCATGTTTTTTTTTCTTGTGGTTTGCTCTTTCATATTTTGCAATTGAAAAACCATTATTTCTCATTGAAACCGTTCTGGAGTGTTATCTCAAGAGTGCATAAAATGCACATAGTATATGGGATGTGATTTCCGAAAAATTCCAACGGAAAACAACAAGGAAACGGAGCGGAACTTCTATATTTCGTTCTGGCTCCTCTCTTCTCTCTCTCTTTCACTCACTCTCTTTTCACACGCTTTCAGAAAGAGACCGCATCTCCCGCTATCTCTGGGTCTCATTTCGATATAGGGATCGTTATATAATTTAATCATTCCATTGTGAATGCGTTTCATGGTAGGGCTCCTCCGAAAGTCTGTATTTCAATAATGAAATTCCGTTGCTGTCAGAATTGGAATGGAAGCGAGAGTATGTAATTGCTTGGAAGCGTTTCGAAATTATACGAACGTACGAGGCTGAAAATGAAAATACCTCGGCATTTCTTCCATCGCTTTTTTTCTCGCTTTTATACACAGTCGAATTCATTTCACAAAGCTTCAGTCCGACATCATTTGAATACTGGCGCATGCCGCCAGTTTGCCTTGCATTTGCATTCTTGCATGTAAACTGTGAAATGAACCAAGGAAATCGATTCTAAGTAGAAAAAAAAATTTGTGATTTAAACTTGTTTTTTTTCTGGCACAAGTTAAAACAAACTTTTTCTTCCGCTCCTTTCTATTTTATGACCATGAATGCGTTCATAATAAGAACGAGATCGAGAGCGACCGAAAGAGAGATAGAGCGAGCGAAAAGAGAATAGACAATCCAATATTTATGTAGACAAATCCCACATGCTTTTTTTTCGAAATGACAGTTGAATTCTCAACCCGAGACATTCTACATCTTTTGTTTCTCTTATTTTCCCATATTTCGCAGGGCCGTATTCGGTGTGGAGGAAAAAAGCCATGCAGGCCATATGAAAGCAGTCAAACAAAGCGTTTTGGATGGCACGAGTAAATGGTCGGCGAAAATTGCTATCACAGGTTTGGTTCAGAGCTTGTTTATTCCAAAAAATATGATGCGATAAGAGCTCGTCGGTTTTTTTTAACCCTCTTCGTACAGAAAAAACTAAATCTGTTCTTATTTTTTTTTTCATTTAAACAACAACAATAACAATAACAAAAATATACAAAATAGATGATTATTATTGACACAATATTCTTCACTATAATACATCAACGTGAGATTTTTGTTTCTTGTGTACATACATATCATTTGTATTTGTTGATTTGGATGCAGTTTTTGATTGAAAAAGCATGTATAGATACACAATACCAACAACCCCTTAACCGGTGTGATGAATTTTGTATTTTTCATGTATATTTTGAGTTGATTCGTTGAGTAGATTTTTGTTTTGTTCGATGTTTTTTTTTCTCGTTTCTGTCATTCTACTGGTGAAAAATACAGACGTAACAGACAGTATTGACATACTTTCATTTTTCGTTTCATTGTTGTATTTTTGCCATGTATCACATTGCACGTTCACTTAAGAACAACTTTCGTGTTGGATTTTTCTTTCTCGTTGCCATCCAAATAGACAGAGATGGATATTTTCATTCCGTTTTCAATTTAATATTTCCATTCAAATGCCATACTGCTTAAATAACGAAGATGCTTAGTATCAAACGATAAAACGGAGAAAAACACAAATCATTGTACAGAATATCGACACAACAATGTGCGTTTTGTTGTACGATTTGTCTCTTGAACAGACACACAAACAAATGCGTTCCATCGTAGATTTATTTCGATCAATTTTCGTTTCTGCCATTTTCATTTTTTCGTGTTTTCCCATTTACAGCGAAAGTTGTTCTCTCGTTAGTGCATTTGTTTGTTTAATAATCATTGAAAAATGAATGCCGTATGAATTTTTGATTTGTACTTTGTTCCATCTTAGATATATACTATATATATATGTTGTAGTGTGTTTTCGAGAGTCATCAATGCGCAGTGCGCACGAATTCAGTTTGCGAACTGGACGTATGCTGTGTGTTTGATTTTGTTTTTGGACATTTTTTACGACGTAGTTCTTCAACGGTGACCAATTCAATGACATCAATTTACCGAGGACTGAGAGCTACCGTCTGTCGTAAATATCACGGAGTACATGACGGAAATGAGCTTCACTATCTTTTTGATGATTTTTTTTTCATTTCAAGTGTTTTCATGCACAAGCTGAACCCCAATGTTCAATTTGAACTCGTATTCGTTCAATTGGAGTTGTTGTTTTTTTTCTCCATGTTTTTGTTTTGTTTCTTGTTCAAATTGAACTCTGAATTTTTGTTCGTCTTCGCAATTTTTTTCTCGTCAAAATTGATTTAGTTTCGGTGTCTAACATTGAGCTCTTTTTGGAATGTTTATGGACTCAAACTGAATTGGTGTCCGTGCCCGTTGAAGAACTATTGATTACGGTTTCAGAAATTATAGAATGATTAATGTGGTGGTCACCACCACTTTGATCATTCTCAAGCACTTAGCATTGAATGAATAATGACTTAGATACTCTTGTTTAGTAAGACAATGTTTAGCGTTGTGTTGTCAATGTAATTTTTGGGAATTTTTTTCAACCGGTTTGAACTGTTTTTTTTTTGTTGCACATTTGTATATTAATTTTTCAACTAATTTTGGTTTTGATTATTTTATTGTAAATATGTTATCAAGGTTTCATTTGAACCGAACCAAAAGGAAAGAAAAACTCAAAATACTGTGGAACAAATCGTGATCGCCGACGATTTTTTGTTATACTTTTTGTTCTCTGTCCCTCTGCAAATCTTAATTTGAATTTTTTTTTTTCGTTTTCTATGATTTTCCAATTGTGCGACAAATTGTACATTCCAACTTAAAGCTACTATATCTTTTTTGATTATTTTTCCTCTGTGTACAAAACTTCAAGAAATATTGGAAATTTTTTATTAAAAAAAAAAACAACAAAAAACGAACAACTGTTCGACGATGCAAATACCGCGAAGCGGATAAACGCTTCGATTTCTGTGTCTCTCTCACTCTATCTCACTTTGTCTGTGCCTGAACAAAGCACTCGTCGGCTTTGGCGATTAATCATTCATAACGGAAATGAAAATGACTTCGAGAATATTGACTTTGATACAAATTGTGCTGTAAACGTTTCGTGAAAAAACAAAATGTAAAAAATCGATTTCGAATCGAATGAGAAGAGTTCATAATAATCAGTGGTCATAATAATCTTTTGGCTTCTCGTATTTTTGCCTCGATGATCGTATCGGTGGGTTTTTGCTCTAGTTACGAGCGCAATAAAGTCAATCGAAAATACAGTCAAGATGTGAAATGTTTGTGTTTTTACAAGCTGCTTACTACTTTTTTGCTTCTCAGATTCCGTGCTTTTTGTGTCTTTTCTGAATCTAAATGTCGCTCGGAATTTGTGTCAAACTATAAAACGTCGCTGCCCTCGTTCAAACCGAGTGTGTTGAGGGTATTTTTTTTACGAATTTCCGCATTATTTTTTATTACCGAACAAACAGCAGTAAAACATTCGAATTCATCGATTTTACGACATAAATTTCGGCCAACCATCGTAATTTTTTTTTTCTACTCTCTGTGTCTTCTTCTCTCTGTCTCTCTGTCTCTCTCTTACTCTCTTGATGTAAATCTCGAATTTGTTTTGTGTTGTGTTTTTTTTTCCTTCAAATTATCATATTATTTACAGCACACCAATTTTTTTAACCAGTCGTTTGTTTGTTTGTATGTTTTACATGTGTATCGAATCGTTATGTGTATGAACAAATGAAGCATCAGATGAAAAAAAAAACATTTTCTAGGTGGTTAGAAAAGAGAATCTGTTGTATTTTTTTCTTTTGCAATTGTCCGATATATGTCGAATATTCTTCACCTGATGTGTTTGTTTTTTCTTTCTTTTTAAATACAAATTTTTGTGTTTCAGTTGGTTTTTTGTATGTCTACTTAGTTTATTTGGTTAGATTTTCATTTTGATGTGTGTTTTAGTTTCGAATTTTTGAGCCTGCTCTATATTTCATTGAACAACCAACAAAAAAAAAACTACTTTTTCCTTCAATGTTTTCATGTCCATTTTTCTTTAGGAAGGGAAACTGTGTCGTTTTTTTTTCGTTTTCGTTTGGTTTTATTTTCTAAATGCAAATAAAAAACAATAAAATTATTGTTGTGGTGTTCGTTTTCTTATTTAAAAAAAAAATACAAATTTTCCTTTTGCATACACACACATACACATACACAGCCAACACAACAACTATACACACAGACACACTGAACGTGACCAATCTCGAAACTATTGCGTTTTTTGCCGCAATATTTGTTACAAGGCAAATTTTAGTTTTACATACAATAAATTGACATTTCCGTACAGAGTCCAATAAAAACGTACGAAAATACCTTTGGCGGGGGTTCGTCTAGAACAACTCTCACGCTCTCTCGTTTAATCGACTTTTTTTTTACTCTCTCGTTTCCAGTACATACATATATCTCTCGCTCAATTTGTGTCATTGAAAGTTTGTTTCAAAGCGCACATATATGCTTTTCGATTTCGCAAACTTTTTTTCCGCTAAATTGGCTAAAAAAAAATCTTCCTTTTGGCAATAATAAACATTATAAAACCTTTTCAAGGTGGAATAATGCAGTTACACGAGTTGATTTATTGCCAATAATAAATGTTTTTTTTTTGTTCTGCTAGAACAAAGTTTCGATAGATTACAATATTTCTATCTCAGAAAGATGACTTCAGCCAAAAAGACAAGAATTCGTTCTGAAATTGGATCAAAAACAAGTATTTGAAATTTAAAAAGAAAGATTTAGCCGCAATGAAGAGAGGATCTTTAAGTTTTCAGACTTATTGCGTCATACGGAATGGTCAAGTTCAAAACATTTGACAGACTGCACGGCCACGATGTGAAATACTTTAAATGGGATTCTAATGAAATTCCAATCCGAATGGAATTCTAATACGAACGAAAGTCCAATACGAATGTATCAGAATTTTGTTTTTTGTCATTTTGGAGATTTTTCATTAGGAAAATGCGTATCGGATATGGAATAATATTTATACAATTTAATTTCAATTTTATTGTTTCAAATTCATTCAAGTTAATAAATATTTAAATCTTCAACATGCCAATGGATGATTTGGATGATCATTTCGACCAAATGGCAATGTTTATTCGATTTGTCTTTAGCAGACGCATTTCCAAGCGATATTTGTCGCATCAGAGGTTAAACTCCTTTGGTTGTTGTCTGCCAGAGACAAATTCGATGAACACCCCAATGCTATTTACGTTTCTTTTTTTTTTGTTTTGTTCGGTAAATATTTCAACTACCGAATGGTTGAACAATATGTTGTTGAAAAAGATGTATCTTTGTTATTTCCGAAAGACTGTCAGACATGAGCAAAATCATTTAGAAGAATGTTTCGTGTGGCACATACATAAATTCAATCGAGAAACTTTGCCGAGAAGTTGAACAACGCACGCACGCACACACACACAAAAATGCTATTCAAAATTGAAAGTATGCGAAAGTTTATATCACAAACATTTACTGTAAAGCATTTCGAATAATTCCATGGTGAATATCTCGAGAGTTTTTTTTCAAGTGATGTGAAGATAAAGTATGTATACGTATGGTCATGGTGTGTTAAACATTTGGTTGGTTGCACCATGTTGCATCTCTACACGGTTTCGTTTGGTAGTTTTGCACCAGTTTTTTTGGTATTTAAACAAGGAATGAATTTATTTTGTGTGTGCGTGTGCATATTTAACGTAAAGTATCAACTTTACCCGAAATAAAATGCTATTCCCTTTTTCCCCCACCGCAGACTCTGTCACTTGTAGATAAGTTTTGTTTTTGCCACTGTTTACGATTGAACTTTTTTCGTACGAAAAAAAAACATACAATTAACATCGAGAAGTCTGCATGTCTGATTGTATCGCTTGCGTTTATCCCATTTTATCAATAACATGAACAATTTATAGATAGCCCACAGTAAGAAAAAAACAAACACAATTAAAAAAAACCGCAATCGATGGACACGAAACACATATACACACAATTTATAGGCACACATACTCTCACACATACACACACAAATCGAAGCTCGTCTCGATTTCACACAAACAACCCCTCAGAAAAACTACACAAACCACAGAACAAAAAAAAAACCACACAAATTGTATCGTATTATAGAGAGCTCAAGAAATGATTTTTTTTTTGTTCATCAAAAGATTTAAATGTAAAAAAAAACAAACAAAAAAACAAAAATTTATCAAACTGAAAATTTACGGAAAAAACAACCATTTTTTTCACGTCAATAATTATTTTTGCAGTAATTTGTGCGCAAGGATTAATAGCGAAAGATAAAAGTGGAACTAGTGATCCATACGTTACGGTACAAGTTGGTAAAGTAAAGAAACGCACACGAACTATGCCTCAGGAATTAAATCCAGTTTGGAATGAAAAATTTCATTTGTACGTTTGAACAAATTTTACCACCAAAAAAAAAAACACACACACACAAAAAACAAGCATTTTTTTCTTGACCATATTTATTTTCTATCTCTATCTCTCTTTCATCATATTACTTAAAATAAATCCTATTTCTTTATTTTCTTCTGTCTATTTTCTTAAAAACTATCCTGAACAATCCCATTGGAAGAGAGAGCGAGAGGGAGATCGGCTATTGAAAGTCTTATCAAAGATAGAAAGAGCACCACTCAAAGCTGATTGAGGCCAATATGTTTCAATGAGAATGCATTCATCCATAGACTTTCGATAGCCTGTCTCTTCAACATATTTCTCTCTCGTTTTAACTTCATTTTAATATCATTCCATTCCTCTGCCCTTTCATCCGATAAAAATAACGATTCCATTTTTGTTGTAAACGACGAACACAAATTTGTGATTGTATGCATCAAAAGACAAGGCATTCACATTCATGTGAATTGATAGCGCTTGACTTTTGGTCCATGTAATAGCAACGAATTTCCGGTTTAATTTCCATGGTTTTTCGTTTCATTTTTTTTTTCTTCGTTTCGTTCATTTTCTGTTACCTGCGGAAAACTTAGATTATTTTTTTTTTAACCGCTAGCATTCTCAGTTGAATTGACAATTTGCTTTAAAGCTAAAATCATATTGCTTTTCTAATTACGCGCGCGCGGCAAAATGTGTTTTTCTCTTTCTCCAAAGACACGATTTGTTTAGAAATAAAAAAAGAAGCGGCTCTGTTATCAGAGCATCATTAACGCCTCAAACGAAATTGTTAATAGTATGATTATGATTTTGATCTAGCGTTCTTCGTACTTTAAATTCAGCGTAGTATTTTGTTTAGAGTGCCTATTTAAACAAGCCAAAAAAAAAATATTGCCTTGAGAACGACTAATATATTTTCATGAAAAAAAAAAACAATCATTTAATTTTCCCTCCTTGAAGTTGACAGCAATGAGTCAAGTATATCTCTGATTATAATACATTACGATAGCCTATCATTAACAAAAATAATTACCAAAAAAAAAACAACCTTTTCATTACAATCCAATTTGATTTTTTCCTTTTGTTTCGAAAAACAACAACAACAACAAATCAATTTCTTCTTTCGTTTAATCTCTAATTTCTCTCTCTCTCTCTCTCTATCTCTCTTTCTATCTCATCTCTGTCTCTACTTTTTTCTCTTTTTCTCTGATTCTATCTTTCATATGTTTTTTGTCACATGTTCATTCATTAATTTGTTTTTCGTCTGGTTTCACATTTCGTCTTCTTGTTTTTTTTCCCCAACAACTGTTATTCGTTTAACAACTCATGTTATCCGGGTATTACAACAATGAACAAATACATCGGTCATTATACACACACACACACACTCACGATTGGACATCTACAGCGAGTGTCACAATTCATCGGATCGAATAAAAGTTCGAGTTTGGGACGAGGATAATGATTTAAAATCGAAACTACGGCAAAAGTTAACACGTGAATCGGACGATTTCTTGGGCCAAACCATCATTGAAGTGCGTACACTGTCCGGCGAAATGGACGTATGGTATAATTTAGAAAAGAGAACGGATAAATCGGCCGTTTCGGGTGCGATCCGATTGCATATTTCCGTTGAGATCAAAGGCGAAGAGAAGGTTGCACCATATCATGTGCAGTACACTTGTTTGCATGAAAATTTATTTCATTATTTATGCGAGGAACACAGTGGAATGGTTCGTATTACACACATATATCGATCGATTTTCCAATTATTCATGTATTTATATACATAGATTGGCATTTCGTTTGTCTCTCTATCTCACTCTCTCTCTCTCTCTGATTTTTCTTTTTCGTTGCATCACTGTTCGGTGTATTTAAATGGTTCCGTTTGATGTTTTAGGTGAAACTGCCAACATCCGATGATGACGAGGCGTGGAAAATCTATTTCGAAGAAATTCCCGAAGAAATTGTCGACGAATTTGCTATGCGATACGGAATTGAAAATATTTATCAAGCCATGACACATTTTCATTGTTTATCAACGAAATATTTGTGTCCAGGCGTACCGGCCGTTATGAGCACACTATTGGCCAATATCAATGCATACTATGCCCATACAACGGCAACAACAGCCGTATCAGCTAGCGATCGATTTGCTGCCAGCAATTTCGGTGTAAGTGTTTCCGTGCATTTTTGGCATTTTCCATTCTTTTTGTTTTGTTCACGTCAGCATTTTTTTGGTTTTTTTTTCAACAATTATTGCATTGATTTCTGAATTTGGTAATTAAAATGTCGATCGCGTTGCTTTGCTTCTTTTGCAGAAAGAGAAATTCGTTAAACTGTTGGACCAATTGCACAATTCACTACGTATTGATCTATCGATGTACCGAAATAATTTCCCAGCATCAAGTCCAGAGAAACTCATGGATTTGAAATCCACCGTCGACCTATTAACTAGTATCACATTCTTCCGGATGAAAGTAAGTACCTCATTTACAATATGTTGCCTCTTTCTTATTTCCTCATTTCCACCTTGTGTCTCCCATTGTTCGTCTTTCTTCCTTTTTCTGTGGGAAAATCAAACGAACCCTCTACACTTTTTGTGTTCACCCTTGATTAACAATTCCAATTTCATTCATTTTCGAAATTTCTCCAATTCTCAGGTACAAGAGCTGTCGAGTCCGCCTCGTGCGAGCACTGTCGTTAAGGATTGCGTAAAGGCCTGTCTTAGATCCACCTATCAATTCCTGTTCGAAAATTGTTATGAGCTCTACAATCGGAATTTTCAGGTAAAACTCATCGAAAACACCGCTACATACCGCATACAGACTCACAAAACAAAAGCAAATTCATGCGCGCTTCGTTACTTTCTTTTTGTACGATTTTTCTTTTCTCTTTTGCTTGTTTCTTTCGATGATTTATGGATTTGTATTTCGAATTGGAGTGAAAAAAAAGTCCAAAGTGAAATTTGAATCGAAATACAAAAAAAAAAGAAAATCAGCAGCAAAAAAAGAAGAGAATATGTTGGGTTTGGTTTTTCTTTCGTTATGTTTTGAAGTAAACAAATTTCAGATATCCATTGCATTCGTCCTCGTGGAATCGGACCGAGAGGGGTTTCAGTGTAATTTGATACAAATTCGATGTATTCATGCCATCGAGATTGCTATTTGACACTGTAGACATCCTAATTGAATGTATTATAATTACAAGTCGACTTGAGACAACGCAATATTACCAGCAAATTTATGTTCAAATTCATACCACGATTCGAAATCAAGTTGAAATCCTTGCAAATCGCGAGCCAATTTCGTTTCGCTGACATCGTGTTGAGCCAAACCAAATTGAACTCTCATTATTCAATTACAGAATTGAATCATTTTACCTTTGTTAATGTTTAAAATGACTTCTATTTTGACTCTTATTCGGAATTGGTTTATTGAGACAAGCAAATTGGTCTAAATTGATTGGAAAATGAATATTTTTCTTCTTTTCTTGAAAAACTTTTTTCTTGAACAAAATCAATCCGTTTTTATTTACTCTAACATTTGTGAAAATGTCGTTTAAAATGCAATTTTCAACTAAGCAATTTTTAATTAGATTTTATCGAACAATTTTATAACCTGTGAAATATTTTTTAATTATCAAAAATCAACAACACTTGCCACAATCGTGCCAATTTTTGTTTTTTTTCAAATATTTCCAATTTATTTTTGTTTTTTGAAAAACTTTCAAATCATTAGGCAATTTACCTATCGTCCACCCCTAAATAAGAAACACCGACGACGGTTAATGTGACTGATATTGAATGTAGAATGTGAATACAGTTCAATTGCATAGACATTCCTTCAATGTACCTTCTTGTTCATTTTTAATTTGCAAATTGTTTTTACTCATTGCTGGTGCATGCATTCATCCCCATCGATACTAGAATGATCAAGGGGCAATTCACTAAAAAGTTGTATTACTTTTTTCACGTTGTATTACTTTTTCAGCAGCGTTGTATTACTTTTGAGTGATTTACCCTTGAGAATGATGCTGTTACGAAGCATTTACATATTTTTTTTCATCCTTCGTCGAATTTATTGGGTATATTACGTTATTAATATGATTTGTGCATTCTGTAGGAGGATCCAAACGAGGCTAAGCGCGATCCTGACGATCACGGTCCCAAATTGGATAGCGTTGATTTTTGGCATAAGCTAATAGCACTTATAGCTTCAGTTATTGAAGAGGATATTAACAGTTATAGTACTGTCCTCAATCAATTCCCACAAGAACTGAACATTGGCCAGGTAAATGAATACTGTTTAATTCAATCCATATTCCCCCAAGTGTTTGAAAATTTGATCAAATATTTGAAAATGGGTTAATTCAAATTTGAGATTAAAATTACATTATTTAGTTGGATTTTAGTTCAAAGTATTGAAAAATTCGATTGAATTATGTGTCAACTTGAGCTCAAATTCCAGTTTACTGGACTGCATTCGATGAAATTGTGTGTTTTCATTACAGTTGTCTGCTGCAACAATGTGGAGTCTCTTTGCTGTCGATATGAAATATGCGTTAGAAGAGCACGAACAACATCGTGCCTGTCCATCTTCTGCCTATATGAATCTTCACTTCATGGTAAGCCATTCGCATTCAGCACTCAGAACTCAATGGATGAAAAATTCACGCAAAAAAACAAATCCATTTACTTGCAGGTTAAATATCATTACATGACATATGTCAAAGATGTGCCACCGTACAAAGGAGCGGTTCCCGAATATCCGGCCTGGTTTGAACCGTTTGTTATGCAGTGGCTGAATGAGAACGATGACGTATCGCTAGAATATTTACATGGAGCCTTCAGTCGAGACAAAAAAGATGGCGTAAGTGTTGAGCATATCGATAAAGATTGTCGGCCATTTGGCCGAAATTTTGCAATAAAAAAAAACTTTTGATAAATAAAACTAAAAAGTCCCTACACACACACAATAATAGTATGGAGTTTACTTTTATACTAAAGTGTCATAACCAATACATTCAAATCATCTCATTTGTGTATATTTGTTGGTGCTGGCATCTGCTTTTGCGATGAACTTTATCCCATTCGTATATGTCAACTATATTTGAATGTATTGGTTATGACACTTTAGTATAAAAGTAAACTCCATACTATTGTGTTTGTATGCATTACATACCAAACAAAGGTGACTAACATAAATTTCCCTAACATTGTTCTCTTCTTTCACACACACACACACACAGTTCCAAAAGAGCTCGGAGCATTCGCTGTTTTCGAATTCGGTAGTCGATGTATTTACACAGTTAACGCAATGCTTCAAAGTCGTCAGTAAATTGGAATGTCCTGATCCGGAGATTCTAAAACGATATATGAGACGGTTTGCAAAGACAATAGTCAAGGTGCTAATAGCTTATGCAGATATTGTAAAGAAAGATTTCCCAGAGCATTCAAATGATGAGCGTGTTGTAAGTGCAAATTTAACTTGATACATAAATCATATTCAAAACTAATGACGATTGTTTTCGTTTATTTTTGTCTAGGCCTGCATCTTAATGAACAACATCCAACAGTTAAGGGTACAACTAGAGAAAATGTTTGAATCGATGGGTGGTGATGGTTTGGAAGAAGATGCAGCTAACATTCTAAAAGATTTACAACAAAACCTCAACACAGCTCTCGATGACCTGGCCTCACAGTTCGCTGATAGGTAGGATGGAATTTTGTCCATACTTCCCTTTGAAAAATATCCCATTTCTCCTCCGTAAAATGTCCTTCATGCCATACGATCCTCTTTGATTATCCCATCTCTTCAATTATTCGGCAAATTGATTAAATGTGTAAATTTTTCGTCAACAGTTTGCAGCCTCGTATCATCCAAAGTGTTCGTGAACTGGGCGATTTGCTGCAGAATATTAAAGGCGGTGGTAGTTTGAATAGCACAAATCAGGCAGCTCAACGTACTACTGCGGTCGCTGTGGAAGCGGACGAGGTATTGCGACCATTGATGGATCTACTCGATGGTTCGCTATCCCTTTATGCTCAATCCTGTGAAAAGACCGTGCTCAAACGTTTGCTCAAAGAATTGTGGAAAATTGTGATGCGCATACTAGAAAAGACAATCGTTTTGCCACCGATGACTGATCGAACGGTAAGAATATTGAAATGATTCCCGTGTGTTAGTTTTGTATCGAATTTGAATTCGATTCATTTCGATTATTTAATGCGAACATTCTGACCGATGTTCTTTTTACTGATGAATTCTGGAATGTAAAACGAAAAAAAACTAACATCTCAACTTTTTCGCATTCGCAGATGATGTTCAAAAATATAACGGACAATGCCAAGAATCTGGCGGCAAACGCGAAAATCGAGGACATGTCACGATTGTTTAAAAATCATATGGCCGGCAAACAAGACGTAAAGAATGCACTGAGCGGTGTGATGGACATATCGAAAGAGGTGGAAAAGAATTTGTCGCCAAAACAATGTGCCATCCTCGATGTCGCTCTGGATACAATCAAACAGTACTTCCATGCGGGTGGCAATGGTTTGAAAAAGGCTTTCCTCGAAAAATCACCCGAATTACAGAGTTTACGTTATGCGCTCAGTCTGTACACACAAACCACCGATACCCTAATCAAAACATTCATTACAAGCCAAGTGCACGAAGGTAAGCTACATGGCCAATCAGTTTTTCTGTTCGTTTTTTTTTCTGTTACCACAATATCCTTTTCTCTACTATCTTATGTGTATCTTGATGTAGCACACATTTACCGCAACGACATTTGCTTCAAAGACGCGACAAAACAAATGTACATTGCCAAAAATCATTCGATTTGGCACACACACATTGCAATTTTGTTGCCAAGCAAATGTTGATTGTTACTTGTATTTTATACTACTTTAACACACAGGGTTAGCTCAAATTGAGGGGAGAAAATATTTTAGGAGATTTACAGGTCACGAAGCAGTCATTTATTATGAGTATTGAGTGTGTTTTTTTACAATTGTGCCAATTTACACCGCTCCGTTGGAGGAAACGGTGCATTGGTGCAACTCTATATATTGCTTATATTATTAAGTTGAAACTAAAAAATAAAATATAACTAAATATCTATTTTTAAGTCGAATCATTTGAAATGAGTGAAAAAAAGGTGAATTGAAAAGAAACGATTTAGGATCAAAAGATTTATACAACTTGAGTTCCTAATGAATGGAAAATTCGAAAATCAGTAGCAAAAATCATGTGAAACGACATGAGCATTTGAAAAATGGAACCTTCTCCAAAATCGATTAGAAACTAAATTTTGGTAAATAAATTGCTCCGTGTTGGCATTCTACGACATTCCGTATAGGATTCCAAACGATCAATTTGAATTTTGGGATATGGCCATTTCAAAATCGAACATTTTTTTGGTTGGAGAGTCATTGAATGTTTGGAATTGTCATTGACCGTTTGATTTACCTCATATTCCAGATCGTTTGAAATGATTCCAAACAAACTCTTCGGAATTTATGTTGAAGAATTCCAACACTCTGTTCATTAGCAGTGAATATAGGCACTATTTCCAAGGTGCACGTGCCTCATGCACTGTGAGCTATGTCGGTTCTTGTGCATATATTTTCTGCTAATGAACCGGAGCAATTAAATTGCAGTAATCATCATCATCACCATGGTGATTCGCAAGGGATCTAGTATAAAAATTTTTTTTGACTAGCACACTTGAATGAATGACAATGAAAACAATGGTTTCTCCCTCTATTTGCAAACCAACACATATGAAACACACGAATCGCACACCCTCATCATCTACCTCCCTTCTGAACACAATACACAACCACAAAACCAAACCAAACTAAACCACAAACAAACAAACAAAAACCAAAAACCAAAAAAAAAAAACAAATCAGCCAAACATCGGAGCTTTACCATTGATGATGAAGTCGATAACGATATGGATCCAAATTTGGAGGAGCCATTGAAGGCGAAGTTAAAGCGAATGCCTAGCCGACAAGGTGCCAATGAATTGCTATTTGATTCTCATCAAATCAAATTCAAATCAAACATTTGTTGTTGTTTTTTTATAAATATATAGTTAACTCTCCCTCTCACACAAACACATCCACACAAAAAATCAGCCAAGAAAAATGCTACCAAAAAAAAAAAAAAAATATCATGCGCGTAGCTTATTATATACTCGAATACAGCTTCACATTTAACATTTCAGCTTCATTAGAATCAATTTTTTTTAGGTGGAAATATTGTCGAAAAACCATTCCAATCAAATCGATTCCAAGTCGGTTGCACAAACTGGCACCACACATATACCTTTCGGATATACTCAATTATAATTACCTACTCTCTTTGTTTTTGGTTGATATTTTAGTATTTGCAAATTATGCATGTATGACTCTCAGTAATGTTTAATCCGACAGAAAAAATTCATCGCTTTTAAGCCTTTACAACAAATTTCATCCAAATTATGGCTATTCATCAAATATTTGAGTTCAATCAAACCAATCGAAAGAAATGAAGGGTCGATTCAGGTCGATAGGTGCGTTTGATGCGGTCTAAAATGGAATTTGAAAGAAAAAAAAACATTTTCTAAGGCCAAATATGCAGAAGATATGTACTAAATATCAATTAGCAGCTATAACCGCAGTAGAAATCTAAGCTAGAGCACACATTTCTCTTTGTCTATTTGGCAATTGAAGTGGAAATTCCATTTTCGATTACATCGAATATCCCCTGTCGGCTTGACTCCAAATGCATCACATAATCTTTTGTTTTCCTTAGCAAAACCATCCCAAAATGCAGTGATTTTACACATAGCAAACTAAGTTTGAATGGAATAATTGAACAATTAACATGGGATTTCGTTTTGTTTGATGATTTTGTTTTATAATTTATTTATTGCATTCACATTGCAAACATTCGTAGACCAAAATTAAACGGCTTATTTGAAAAATTGAAGAAAAAAAAACAACTATATAAACATCATTATCACAACTAACCATCACCCGGCGTTAGAAAATAGTGAATAATTGTCATTTAAAAAATTAGGCAGCGATTTGAGAAAAGAATCAAAATTATCATTAATTTGCCTATTTATTTGAAACAACTGAAAAAAAAAACAAACACATAACAACAAAACTAGATATTTAAGAGCGCTTCTGATGCTTTATCTTTGCTGAATTATTTCAAATTTACTTTAGCTCGTAGTGGATTTGTGTCGTTTAGTTTTCGGCATTTACGACGCATTTTAAGCCACAGACAAGTAATTTCTGAATGTTTTCTTTTCCCATTCCCAACAAATTGCAACTCTAGATTCACAAAATCCTGACGAAAGCGTTGGCGAGATTTCCGTACAAATTGACCTATTCACACATCCGGGCACCGGCGAACACAAAGTCACCGTCAAAGGTATGATTAGCCACTGAATCTTCAACGGAATCAAGTTGAATTTCTTTAAAAAAAAAATTGATTAAAAAAGGGAAAAATATTGACAATTTGATTGGGTCACGATAAAAAAAATCAATTTAGAATCAATTCATGCCTTTTTCATAATAATGTTCAATTACCAATTTTGTTTATTCATCAAATTCTAGTTGTTGCTGCCAATGATTTGAAATGGGTCATCGCATCGGGTATGTTCCGGCCGTTTGTCGAAATCAATTTGATTGGTCCACATCTGCAGGAAAAGAAGCGTAAACATGCAACCAAATCAAAATCAAACAACTGGTCACCCAAATACAATGAAACGTTCCACTTGTAAGTATTTGGACGTGAAATTTTTGTCATAAAACCACCTTAGTAGAGAGTCACACTTACCTTGAAAGGAGAAGAAGAGCGTTGGCTGGAGAAAAATTTAAAATTTAATCTAGAATCATCAATTGGTTCTAACTAAGTGCATCGAACATTGCAATGACTAAAACTGTATGTAATTTGTCATATTTCATAGCATGATCGGTAACGAGGAGCAGTTGGATTTCTTCGAACTTCATATCTGTGTTAAGGATTACTGCTTTGCTCGTGAAGATCGTTTGGTTGGCGTTGCCGTCCTCCAGCTTAAAGATATCGTTGAACAGGTAATTGCACTTTATCATATAGATGTTTCAAACGTTTGAATATTGAAAGCTCAGAAAATGCCAATTTGATTTCGAAGGTATTGATTTCGACTCTTACTTCAAACATTTTTTTCTTGTGCCTAGTTTCATTTAATTCTTATATTGATAAAAAAAAAACTTTCGATAAAATTTTTCCGACATCTTGTTGAAAATATCTTCTTTGATGGGCATCAAAACACAAACAATTTTTAGCAAAAGTCTTCCATATCAAATAAAAGGAATGGAATAGATAGTGTTTTATCGCAATAACCCTGTTCAAAGTTCAGCTGAAATCTATGAATTTAATATCTTTACCTCTGTTCAATATATTTTCTTGTTTAATTCGCAGGGATCATGTGCACGCTGGTTGTCACTAGCGAAACGTATACAAATGGATGAAACTGGCTGGACGATATTGCGTATTTTATCACAGCGTAATAACGATGAGGTGGCGAAGGAGTTTGTCAAACTGAAATCGGAGATACGTCAAGAGCCCTTGCCAAACCAATAAACTGCTGAATCTGAACTGAACCGAATTAAAGACAACAAAAAAATCATTGACAAATCGTGAAATTAACCGCATATTTGAGGAGGCAGAGAGAGAGAGAGAGAAAAAAAGAGATAAAGAGAGCGCCTGTAAAAATAAATTCATTTGTCTTATTCTTTTTTCATATGAACGAAATACATAATGATAAAATAAAGATAAAAAACCAAACAAAATATATTACAAACCCGATTCGTGCCATTCATCGATGGGCAATCGCGAGTGCGTAATGGCTTTCCTCTTATAGAGTTTTGCTTCTACAACCAACCAACCAACCAAAAAAAATCTCAACTAGATTTTACAATCAATCAAATTGAACGCTTTTTAATTTTCTTAGAGTTTTTCTAGGAGAACAAAAAAAAATAACAAACATATTTACGACAGCATTTTCGCATTCAAATCTCAAACCAGAAACAAAAAAAAAAACAAACAAACAAACAAACAACACGTATGTTATCGTGGGGAACTATCGACCGACACCTCATACTTGTTATTGACTTAGACGTTCGCTCCTAGGCAGCTATAACACAAACTAATGAAACCAAAAAAAGAAATAAAAATATTAAATTAAATGATGAAAATTGTAAATATATTATTATATATCGGATGAGTACAAATATCGTATATTTGTAAATCAATAGTTCCCTCTATAATAGGGGACTAATATGTAGGACACAATATTTTTGTTTCTCTTGTTTTTCTGTTTTATTCGTTCGATTTAATTATGAATTCATTGCATAGTTTTCTTTTCGTTATTTTCGATTTCAGAGTTTATTGTTGCCTTTAAATGAAAACAAATTTAACATGAATTAACAAAAGAGAATGAAAGAAATGATGACAAAAAAAAGAACATTCACACTGAATGAAGAAAAAATGTGAGCAAAAAAAAAAGAACATTGAACATGACTTCTCCATATCTGTAGGTAATTTAAGCTTCTTCAGGACGGATTGATTCAAATCACAATCCAATCATACCGATACACACACAAATTACTACTGAAAATCACTAAGAAAGAGAAATGCAAGAAATTATTAGGTTATTTAATCAAGTGAACAAACAAAATGTTACCATGCATTTATATCGGGTTTGAAATACGATAAAACACAACCGAATCAATAACAAACTTTATGAATATCGAACATTTGATACGTTCGTATATGGTGCTGCTCAAGTCATATAAGGAAGAGAAAAAAACCGACAAAACCAGAAACATTTATTGCCACGAGAAGTTCTGTAGTTGCATTTAATTCATAATTAAAAAAAAAATGGTACGCACACGGGTTAGAAAACGATATGCCATTTGCCAGTTGGCAAAACACATAACATTTCCTGAACAAAATTTTCGACATTTTTCCCCCCTCTCTCGATTACACTCATAGTTCATATTCACCTCAAAACTCATATTCGAAATGAACTTTTCATTTCGGTCAAGTAGAATAATAACACCACTGTCGCTCAATCCACAGCGACAACCGTTTTTTTTTTTTTCAAACTTCAATTAAATCAACTAAACAACCATTCACATTACTTATTGCAACCATAATGAATTGAACCACATTTTACAACCACCAAACAAACATTTATGAACAATCATAAGACAAAATCAAAGACGAAATAAATGAAAATATCTAGAAATATTAACAAAAATGAACTGTCTTGCGTTTGGGTTTTTATTTTCTTTCATTTTATTTGTTCATTTTTCGATTTCGATTTGTTTGTCACATCGTATGCACAACAAACACACAGTAGCACTACAAGGAGGAGAAGGAGTGAGAAAGCGAGATGAAAGAGCAAGAGCTTTTGCTCGGCCCTTTTTTCAGTCATTTTGTCATGACATCTCGATTTAAATATATTTAAAAAAAAACAAAACAAAATATATATATATATATATATATTATAAATAAATGACCTTCATCATATCATTGATAGCTTGAAAGTGTATAAAAAAATCATTATATTGACCTGAAACTCTTCTATTTGATAATTGTTGATATGTTCATTGTTCACTATTTCGGATTTTCTGTAATTAAATGAGAAAAAAAAAACGAGAAGAAGAACACTTTGTTGATGCGTCTATGAGAGTTTATTTTAGTGATGATGAATGGGACAACAACTTTTTTTTCGAACATTGATTAACCTAACACACACTCGATTGATCAATGAAACATTCATTTTTAAGTCAAGAATAACAAAATAGTGAAGAAAACAACAAGTCAAACATCATTTTGAAATATATTTAGAGGATCCCGTGTCAAAATATTGTGAATAAGCATGACTATTCGTAACTAATTTCGGACATTTGAAAGGACTATTGACTAGGTAAAAGTGGATATCCCGAACAAAATATGTAACTGAAGTTAACTTAAGTTAACTTCAGCTGAAAGTGACGTCAAGTCCTTGGTTTCTGACTGAAGGCAATTACAGAAATCAATTTTCTGTAGTTAATTACAATAAAAAATTAAAGATTTGACGTCACTTTCGGCTGAAGTTAACTTAAGTTAACTTCAGTTACATATTTTGTTCGAAATATCCACTTTTTTTACCCAGTCAATAATCAGTCAAAATGTCCGAAATTAGCTATGAACAGTCATGCTTAGTTACAATATTTTCACTCGGGCAATTTTCCCACAGACCGAAAAAAAAATCCAAAAATTCACACAAAGACAAGAAAATTTTGTCGAAAATGAAAAAAAACTGATGAATTTGCAAGACTGTTTCAGGATTTCACTATACGTTGGAGTAAGCCAATTTGCCAGTTATTCATTAACTTACGTTTTTTTCGCATTTTCTTTTATACATATACATATAAAATATTCGTAAACGGATGACCAAACTTAATTTAAAAACAAACCAAAAAAAAAAGAAAACACACATAACATGTTTCACACCATATAGCTTTGCTTTGAAAACATTTGGAATAAATAAAAGAAAACTAATGAATAATTATTGAGAAAAAAAAGTAAATCGGTTAACATGCAACTGATTGCAACGCGTTTGGTCCCGAATTTTTGTTAAATATATATTTCTTTATAAGCAATAGATTTAAAAAAAAAATATCTCCTTCCGCGCGTAAGTATCATTGAATGAAAAAAATTATTTGAAGAATAAATAAATTGCGGCTAGACAAGATTAAAAGAAACAACTAATTGAAATAAAGAAGAAAAAAAAACTGTGCATTAAATGTATAAAAAAAGGAAATAATATATGAATGGTTATATTATCAAAACTCCATAATTTTTCTATTTTCATTTTGTTCCCATTCGTTTCGGTTTTTCACACTCGTTTTTTTTGTGATCGACGCCAAATCACTGCGTCGATGCAATATAATATTCGCCGATGCGGCGCATATTCAACTAATTGTACCAACAAAATTTGACTATCTTGTGTGTTTAACAAAATTCAAAAGACTTCAAACATACATATAAATATTATTATAATTGACTTTAAAAAAACAAACATGGTGTTAGCTAAATAAATAAAAATGAAAACGTTTTTTTTCTCGCTTCTTGTCGGGCAAATCAAGCTCTTTAAAGAGGAGAATTAGGAAGAAAATTAGTGGAAAATTTAAACAGAAAGAGTGAAAAAAGCCCACGCTAGGAATAGAAAAAAAAAACAAAAGAGAGAAATTTAATTACAATAACAACCAAAAAGACTTTGATAAATGGCAGTACATTTAAAACAATATTTGTATTAATTGTTGTTCGAGTGTTAATGTTAATTCATCTTAAACCAAACAAACAGAAAAAAGAAAATATCAGAGAATGAGAACAAATCAGCATTAACAATTCACATTTACATGTATTATATTTGACGACGACAACAACAACAAGAACAACAACAACAACACCCACAACATCAACATGAAAGACACACAACTCTCTGTATTGTAAAGAAGACACAAACTTAATGGCATATACCAGATTAACAAACAAAAAACTTATTACGTGGAAATTACACACGATTGATTTGAATCGTAACATGGAGAACCAAATAATATATAAATACAAGAAATCTATATATAAATGAAAAGGAAAAAATTTTACAATACGTGACCATACCACTAATCTGCTAAATTTATTTTAACGATAATGATAAACTTACAAACCAAACAACAACAACAACAACAACAACAACAACAACAACAACAACAACAACAAAACATTCTAGACAATTACAAATTTCGACAGTAATTGAATATTGAACGCGTAACATTTCAACTAAAAACACTGACAACAAGAACAACATGAAGAACAATGGACTAAAAAGCGAAACAATTATTGTAAGAAAACAAATTTAAATTGAATTTAATAATGTAAGCCAACCAAAAATGTCAGAAAAAAAACAGCAACAACAAAAAAAATTAACAAAAATAAACAATGATAAATACATGGATTCATTATGGTGTTATTAATATTGCATTTCAGATTGAATTGTATCGTTTGGATTGGCAGCTGACGGAATCAGCTTGTGTAAAATCAATGGCTCATAGATAGCATAAACTGATGTATACGGAGGTAAATACAACTTTTCCAATTATGCTGCGTTGCGGTCAAGAAAAGTTTGAAAAGCTTCGGAAGAAGAGTCAGCTTTGAAAGAAGAGACAGTTAATTTGTCGGCATACCGATGAGTATGCATACTCTGCATGTACTAATTAAGACAAATCCACCATTCCATGCACCAAAATGTACCGCATGCTTAAGCAGGATTTCAATAATTATTCAAGACTTGATAAGAGATAGAATAAGACTGTCTTATTGCAATTAAATTGTGTCTATTTCCGTGTAATTTCATCTCGCAATTAAAAGTGACCTGGCACTGGTTTGTGTATACTTCTATGCGGTATGGGTATTTTCCGTGTAATGTCTGCAGAGAGAGTATGAATATGCATGGAATATATAAATATAGATGGTTCGCAAAGAAACAGATGCCAGTCGGTGTGACTGAAAGTGGCTTAATTTTGGTCAACCATTCCGTTTGTTCATTTGAATTTTAATCTTCACTTGAACTATGCCAATCAAAACTTACCGTTGCAATTCCGCTTGTCGTTCGTTCCGGTTCTGCAAACTGCATTCATTCAAGTACAAATGCAAATTGATGATTGAATTAAAAAGACGCAAACAAAACGCGTACTTCTTCACAATCGCATACAAGAATTCAGCCAGAATTTCTTGTGTAAATTCTAGCATATTAAACTTCACCCTAATGCCATGGTTTTACATATAATTTTATTCAAAACGGAATCGCATCTTCCACAGTAAATGACTTCGTTCTTGTTTGACAAATGAATGAGAACGAGAAAAAAAATTATGTAGATCGAGACATCGAGCGAAATTAATTAAGTGAAACGGTTTTCTACAGTGAAAGCATTATGCAATTATTTACTCATTTTTATCATCTAATTGTTTGCTTATCTTCATTAATTCTTATACTCCTATGTGTATTTCATACAGTTGAATGAAAAGTATAGCTGGAAACTCTTTCTTATTTAGTAGGTCGTATTTTTTACTTATTCAATTTATAAAAAAAAGTATTTTTCTCCCACTCTATCTCACTGGCTAATCTCTTGTATTTTCGATGTGAATGCCTTTGATAATAACTAATTTACTACAATGCAAAAAAAAATCGTTTATCAAAAAACTCCTAATTTACTATTAATAACGTTGACCTAATTTTTATGCCGGTGGTCCGGCAATTGTTTGATCCACTTTTGCCTTACGAGATCGAATGAACGGGGATCGTTTCACTTGTGTTACACTATTAAAGTCTGAATTGTGGAAAATGCGTGCATTCGATATGGCACCAAAGAGTGGATGCGAGCGCTGTGCTGCATTGCTGTTGCTGTTACCAGGGCATTGAGCGCATGGATTATTGCCACCGTTGCCTCCTCCACCTTGTTGCTGCTGCTGTTGGTATGGGTATGGCATGGCCATACCATTTCCGTTACCACCATTTTGTCCGCCGCACGGGAAGAACACAATCGGAATGTATCCGACCATTCCGTTGTTGGGTGGATTCGTTTGAGATGATGGATCTGTTTGACTCTGCTGTTGGCCTTGTGGTTGACCTTGTGGTTGAGACGAACCCGTTTGTGATTGTTGACTTCCACCTCCTGGTCGTGTTGGTTGCTGTTGACCACCCGAACCTTGGGTTGTTTCATTGTTTGAGTTAAAGTTTTTATTCGAACAACAATTGCCACCGAACAATTGACTTAGTTGTGATGGGTTTTGGATTAAATTTTGGAAGTATTGCATCAGTTCCGGATTTTGTAGTGTATTTTGGATGGCCATCGGTAGTAAATCGATTGGGAATGGAAGGACATAGAATGGCAGCTTCGAAATTTCAATCAAATTTGGATCGTATTCATTGCCGAAATCTGAATTTTGCTCATTTGGATTTGGACCGGTTGTTATTATTGGTTGGTTGGAATTTGGTGATTGGACGCCAAATTGCTGGATTAAATCCGGGAAATTATACGTACCTTGTTGTGATCCTCCCTGCTGTGGTCGACTTGGTTGTGATCCCGGTTGGGAACCTTGCTGTGAGCCACCTTGTTGCGGCCTTTGTGGTCTGCCTCCCTGTGTATCGCTTCCACTTTGATGTGAACCCTGTGGATCTTGACCTCCTTGCTGTGATCCGCCTGGTTGTGGTCTGCTTGGCTGTTGTGACCCTTGCTGTGACCCACTTTGCGGTTTTTGCGTTGGTCTTGGTTGAGATGAACCACCACCACCTTGTTGTGATCCGCTTTGTGGTCTTCCTCCCTGTGGATCGCTTCCACTTTGA